ATTAATAAAATTGCTAAATAACTAAGATTTTAATAATTCAGCTTTTCAGTAATTTATTCATAGAAAATTCACTATAAGGTTATGAATGGCTTTTATAAAAGATACCTTATTTGACGGTAATAATTCCAGATTTTTATCCCGAGGCTCTCATATTTATAATTCGTGTATATACGCGAGATTAAATTTCCTTTTAGTATATAAAACATTCATTATAATGGATCATTTACCGAGTTTATTCTTTATACTACTAATGCTCTATAAAGTATACTTCTTTACAAAACAATAAGCTGCTTATTTGATTTCTTCCGGCTAATTAACTGAAGGATCCTGCAAAATCGTCATCGAGGATTTTGTTCGTTATCAACAAACTTCTCAAAGATGTGTTTGCCCGTGTTACCTGTCCTCTTTAGCTCACAAAATGTTATACCTGTGAATGATTTTAATTGCATACCTGCAGAGCCATTACAATTTATTAATGAAGATATTATCTGCTAATTTTAATGGTTTGAAACGGTTTAACCTACAATGTAAATGATATTACTATAACGAGGGTTTAATTGCTGTGTTTACGAATTAAATTATGGAAGTGCTCCTTTAATTTTTAGTTTTTTATTTACAGGGTGCAAAGCTGCAATTTTAATGCTGAATCCATATTTTGTTGGAAGGAGAAAAGTGCCAAGTTTTTGCGGAAAGATATAGAAATGAGCCTTGGCCTCAGCCCTGCTAGTAATTTATCCCTTTCTGTCAGTAGGGTCAGGATCAAAATATGACTTTCAGTTTAAAGCGGAAAAGTTTTCATTTAGAACCCTTTAAGAAATTAAAACCGATTAAGTGGTTTTCAGTTACTTTCGCAGTAAATTTACTTTACACATCGTGTAAAAGTCATGTTTGACTGCTTGTTGATAAACAACATAATTAATGTGGTTGTAATTAAATGGGATTTGAAGGGTATCAGTCAGCTCCGAGCAATCACAATAAAGCTTAGTGGATTGTAAGATCTATTGAACGAAATGGTTCAATTGACCCATTCTAGAGTAGGCTGTCAAACTGGGATAGGGGAGGTTGGTTAGCAGTTTGTAGTTGTCTCCACACAACACTCCACTACGCCACTTCACAACTAGCCATTGAAATTCTGGGGGTATGATGGCACGCTTCCGCTCTTATCAAAGTCGGATGTGTAGAAATATGTGTTCTGTATGATATACGCAATATTATTACTTATATAGAAAATAGTTTGGCAATTTACGGCCTCCATATCATTGTTAATTAGTTTTCTCTTCCTTTATACATGTGTTTCATCAAATTCCAAAACAAAGAGCAATATCGCATGTCTGGATTTCGCAATAATTTACGGCCTTTAAAGAGGGATGTTATAGATTTGTATGCCAAATACATGCTATTAAAATAATGCTTTCATGACCCACATTACCCTACTGACACCACTCGATCTCAGTAAAAAAATATATCATTTATAAATCAACAACAGCAAGTTTTAATGCTAAGTAACAATTAAATCGAATGAGCAAAATTCATATTAAAAGTTTAAATTGAACACGAGAATAAACCTTATTATTCAAACCAAATATTTTATTTTTATGTTTTCAAATTGTTTATCTTTAATGCTCTGAGAGCATATTATTTAGCTAGCAAAACAAAATACCTTCAGGCAATCATGTCAATATAATCCCGTAATGGTTTATAACATGTTCTAGTATCTTCACAAAATATATGTAGGTCACTAACGCTTTGACCGCCTATAAGTTGATCCACTATTGCGTTCTTAGGGGAAGTGTATACTGCCTCTTTCTATCGTACTTGGAGTCTTATGCGCATGCCCGAGACTTAGATTGAATGTTAGCATATGCGCAAGTACGAGTAAAAAAGTACGAGTGAGAAAGACAGACGCATATACAGCCTGTTCAGAATAAAACCGAATATATCTATATATATATATATGGGGCGTGGCCTCGCCTCCCTCCAAGGCGCGTCACAGTAGCTTGTGTGATAAACGACATGACGAAAGGTCGAGCAGGTAAGACGACTTAAAAAATTAAATGATAATAATGCAAAAAATCTCATTAGCGATGCAGGCTATTTGCTTAGCTACTGTGTCGCGCGTTGGAGGGAGGCGAGACCACGCCCCATATATATATATATAGATATATTCGGTTTTATTCTGAACGGGCTGTATGTCTGGATTGTAGCATTTTTTAAACTTTATGCGACGTTCTGTTTATTATGAATGTCTCTAATCCTTTTCGAGCAATTGATGTTGAAAAGGTTGGTCTTCACCTTAAGCAGATTACTGCTAATCAGACCGCCTTAAGCACCAGCGCGCAAGCATATTGCTATCGCTACTTAAACTTTTGAATTTTAAATGATCCCTTATTGTTCCTTGGAGGACCGCGTGGCCCGTTCTTCAGCGAACTATATTCTTAGGGGATGTATTTATTAAATTAAGTCGGCCCAACTTCATATCATCCGCCATAATGTGCACATGCTTGCAAACTTTTTTTATCGTGCACCGATATGCAAGTTTAAATTTATGTTGCTACAGCAATTGAAAAACATGGTAAATTATTCAACAACGACAAACGAATTCAATTGAAAATTAAAACTTGATTATATTTATTTGGTTCGAGGATGAGCGATTTATTTGAATGGCAACAAAATTTCTTTAATTTGAAAGGGACATTTTTGGCGAAATTAGTTTCACTTATTGAGGCCAAGTGTATCTTGTATCTCATCATTAAATCAGACACTACCTATCTCTTTGTCAAATATATGGAATAATTAATAGCTGTTCTCGAATTAGGCAACAATAGAGCAATGTGTAGTGCTGTCAATTCGTAATTCGAGAAATTTATGTTCAATCATTTTTATTAGCCAAGGTTATATTACGGTTAAAGCCAAATCTGACCCATTTTATTCGAGTTCACTGAAATTGATATGACATCCTAACAATTTGTTAAATAGAGACTTGACAAGTTATCATAGTAAAAGTTAGAAGATTTTCCCTTTTTTTACTCGTCCAATTCCACGACAAGACTTAAAAAGGATTAATATGACACTGAAACTTTGAAATTTATTTGAATGCGTTCACTTGGCAGTGCTTCAATTAAAAATAAAATGCTCCACTTTTTGCATCTAATCCACCATAATCTACTGCGATAAAAATAAAAATTCCATTTTAAATTTATAGACCAACTTGAAAATAATAATTAAGGCTAAGTAAATTATGTAAACCACCAAAATTTTATAAAATAAAAAATAATAAATGAGACGAGAAAAACATAAATATCTGACACTTTAAAGGGCATTAAAAGAACAGGCAATTAAGAAATAACCTAAACACAAAAAGTCAATACACCCGTATAAATGGCAATACTGAAAGAAAAATTAGGGATTACGCACAGTGGGGTAAAATAATTTGTGTATCTGTTTACTATATTTTCAGCGACTGGCTCAATCTTCTATAAAGTCAGTACTGACAACGAAACTGACTACGATTGGAAGATCCCGGAAGTAATACCAATATAAGCTGATTATCGATAAATAACGGTATTGCGGTCAATTTTAATCATTGGGAAAATTTTAGTTTGTTTTCAAGTTAAATTTAGGAGAGGCGAAATGCTTTGTGAAACTAACAGCTGTATGGAAAAAGGTTTACGATTCAAAAACAACAAGTTAACGTGGAACAGTATGTTTCTTAATTGTTCTCAGTTAAGCGGCATGGAATGATAAATAGACGGTTCTGACGCAATAGAAAGATTTTAAGAACCTGACATCCCGACTTTATTATTTGATAGTTTCACTTAATAGAGCTGTTATTTCTTTATGAGCCTCGTTAAATTTTCATTTACTACCATTCTTTCTGACCGCCCATAAATAAAATAATGTCATTGTCTCAAAAAATACAGACATCGAGGTTTATAGGCTTACTTGATTGATGTGTATATGCAAATAAATCACGTTGAGAAAAAGACAGACAGTGTTCGGTATCTCTACAGGGAATGATCATGTCTGAGGGCCGTTATGGTAAAGGTGATAAATAGTTGTGTCACGGACTTCCGACCTATCTGGCCATTTTTGCCAAATATCCCTATTCGTCCCTGCTACACAATTTAAAGTTCACACACACACACAGCTTTATCGCGGTTTTGAACCCTCGCACAATCCCGACCCAATAACCCGAAAAAAAATTCTCCCATATTCAAAATTTACTTACGCCGCATTGTGATGCAATGTCAGATTAAGAAAAATCATTTAAAATTTCAATAAATAATAAAGAGAATGTTATTAAAATTCCATATACCTTATTACACATTATTTTTATTCATGAGATTGCTCAAGCCACATAATCCTAGCTATAAAAATATTTCAGGATTATCATAATATGTTTAACCCGTGCACACTGGAAAAATGCTGTTAATGCCTCTGTTCATTTTAATTAACAATCATATGCCTTACTTTAATTTCATAATCTATATCTGCATACAATAAAAGCAAAAAAGCAATTCCAACCTCACATTTATAACATATTAATAGGTATAGGTATTTCCTTTTCTCTATGGGCAAGCACAAGATCGTTTCTGTATCTAAAGTCTATTCAAATCCAAGCTGGACTAAATGTAAACACAATCCTCCGAATCGACCAATAGGAGCTCACAATCCGAGTCACACCATCAGAATCGACCAATAAAAACGAGTTATCACGCGTCTGGGCGTTTTTGTTTAGTCCAGCTTGGATTTGAATAAACTTTAAATATGCAGCAATACTTTTAACCAATCAGAATAAGGTGGTAGACACTCCCACCAATTTGGCGCCAGTTTAAAAAAATATTTCTTGTATGTTTAAACACAGTTATTTAATAGCTCTGATTGATTGGATATCGGAGGATACAATAAAATGCAAGATAAACCTGATAAAAGGCGAATATTAAATTTAATTAAAAAATGCCCACCACTGATATACATATATATAAAATCAAAAAACTTACCCTTTTTGGGGCTGATGATAATGGTCTGCAAAATAAAAAAAATTATTAGCACAAAAACATGAATTTTATGTCTTTAATTTAAGGCTATTTGAATAATTAATTCCAACCAAAGTGTTTAAGAGCGCAGACTGTAAAATAAACAAAACATTCCTGGTCTTTCATAAATTTTTCAAGTCTCGCAAAATATATAATGGCGTTTGTATTTTATCAAAAGTCTGAGCACAAGTGAAAACATTTGAAATACATTGTGACACATTAATTTGTTTTAGATTTTTCTCTAACATTTTTTATTAGTGCTACAGTTTTTATATAAAAAAAGCCATCGACAGAAGTACAGATAAAAACCACAGTTAAACAACTGGCCAGCTCTACTTAATCCGTCGACTACAACCGCGTTTAGGTTTAAAGAATCCAGTGGATGCCAAACGAATGTTTAAGAATTACGTTAATTTTCATAATTTTTTAATTCAAAAACAGTAGCACCAATGTAAAAGTGATAGAGGAAAAACTTGCTTACATTTTCACATCAATATTGAATTGCTTATTAAAAAAAATAAAATACTGCTTCTGCGTCGAGTTTGTAAAATTTATTCGCGATCAAATCAAAAAATCCAATAGCAATAAATAGTCAAACCTTGTCGGTAACAAAAGCTTAGATTTTTTTATGATTTATACACTTGCAGAGTGTTAAGGGTCGGGGTTGGGGGTGGCATTTTGCGGGGGCTGTATTTTTCGCTTAATGGACGTCTTGACGACAATAACAATTTGTTGAAAAGTAAATGTTAATTTTGAGCTAAAGGTGTTTTTTATGCGTGTTTGTTAGTCAATAGTGGTGTCGTTTGGCAGGGAAACGTCTAAACAAATGGTATTTTAAAAAGTTTATTGGATAAATATGTTAATTTAAGTGTACGGAGTAGGAAAATGGAGCGATAGAAGGGAAAACGATGGAATAGAGCAGTTAAAGATTCGAGATTAGAAGCAAATAAGGAAAAATGGTCGAACAAGCTAGTACGTCTGATTGTTAGTGGGACTTGGTTCGAGTGGCACTTGGTTTGAATCTGTGTCGTCACCGAACATTTTCAATTGATATGCCATTTTCAGCAGTTCTGAAATTGATCCCACGACTAAGCTTCAGAGAACGCCCATGGGACAAACTAACATAAAAAGGTGAGGTGCCTGGACTTTTCGCTTGTCATCCCGATTTTCGTCAAGGAAAATCGATGAATTTTAAATTGAAATTGGCGCCCCGCAAAAACAAAACATGTCGCATGTTGTGTTTTCGGGAGTTAGTTAATAAAGAAGAAGAAAGCAAAAGGCAGACTATTTTTAAGTCGATATAACTAGAGTATGTGTTAAATATATAATGAAAAAACTTTAACGTTACACAACGTAATTTACGTTAAAAGTTTGAAAGAATACGGAGCAGCTTTTTATTTCAGGAGTTGAACAAATCCTATAATAGAACAAAAAGAATTTTCAAATTAGAAATTAAGAGGCGACATTTCTTATACAAAATCTGTTTTAGCAGCTTTAAACGTGTACCTTGTTAGAACCACGCTTTTCAACACCCCACAAGCACAAACTTTTATTTTATTACGCCAAATAATCCCAAAATACATTTATTTAGAAACTTTTACACACTCATTTAATTTACCAAATACCACTTAGGATTATTACAAGCTTTTTTGCTTTCACTTTTTAAACTTGATCAATTTATATTTTATATTTCTACAACTACCATAAATTTTTATAGATATTGGAGATATCTATCCATACATAAACCTTATAAATAAATAGTTTTATAGCCACAAAAAAACGTTAATTTTATAGCCAAATTTACGTTAAAATACAGTAAATAAATCGTGTTGTGAAAATTAACTAAAATGAACAATTTATATATCGATGGCGAATTTAACATTTCAGTTTAAACACTTTTAATTAAATTAAATTAAAACAATTAATTTTCTGAAAGTTTAAAAAATGGCGAATGCTCCGGGATATTCAATATTTCAAAAAATAAATTATTACCATATATGCTGACACATATTTATATATAAATATATGTATATGTATGTATATATATGTATAAAAAATATCAATTTTTTTTTTAACTCAAACGCTTATGACTTAAAAACAACTCGTTGGAAATTGTTTGTATGCTTAATAGTATATTATGTATCAAGTTTGATAAACGCCATTTTATACACGAATTTAATTTAGGCAGGAGAGAGATTGCTTAAATTAATGAGTGTATAGAAAAATTTATAAACGAGGTGCATACTATACTTTTTCTACGACAAATACTTATTATTATCTTAAAATGATTTAAATCAAAAATTTGTATAGAGCGCCATCTATAAAACAATAGAGAAATCTGTATGTCACCGTCAAATGTCAAATTTTTATATTTTATAAACACAGATTATAAAGGTTATAAATCGAAATGTATTTCTTGAAAATTGACAGTTTTTCACACTGAAAGTAAAGAAAATGCTTTATGAGCACTTTACAGTGGAGTCCGTGCCCGAATTTAAGTTATAGTTTACTGCCGGCGAAATTAAAAGGTCAGTACAATGTTCATATAAACTTTTCAAATATTGGCGTTGAGAAACTATTTAATACTTTTGTATTTTTGTATTGAGATAATAAATTAATTTTTACATTTAGTATTATTTTACAAGAAAGGCACTTTATTTTAACGATTGTATGACATTTGACAACTGTCAACTAACTTAAAACTAACTTCAGCCCTTGACTAAAGCGCCATAAAGCCACAATGTGTATTTAAAAGGTCACTTAGTGTCATGGAAACATGTACGATAAAGGGCGTTTTAAAGGTGGGAGTAGAAAAAATAACTTATCCCATTGGGTGGTAGGGCGCCATTTTTAAAGTATTTAAAAAAAAATAAAGATTTAAAATTGGTAATTTTAAACATGGCGGTGATTTGGTGAAATACAAATTTAGAAGTCAAAAGGTAATTCCCATTTCTAAAATTCAAGTAATAAATTACAAGGGTAACATTATACGGGCTAGTATAATAGGCCTATTTATTAAACAACATTCACGAAAACAAAACAATTATGCCTTAAACATGTTAAGTTTTGGATAAAAGTTAGCAACTAGGCTATCTTATATGTACATAAACTAGGCAATGTCGTAAGTAATTATGTTTATTGACAAGTGTGGAAATGGAAAGACATAAAATGCGCAAACACAAGAAATATAACGTATAAAATAGAAAATAGAAAATAAGGAGGAAGCAACATACAGGAAGCTAAGCATATATGATTTATTCCATGCAGTTTTTATTATTATTATGTATATCTAATATTCTTCGTATTGTAATAATAAAACGTCAATTAACTGTCAAATAAAAAAAATATATGCTTTTATAGTCATATCAAACTAAAAACAATATACATTCTCAAATTTTTATATTAATGTATGCGGGTAGTATTATCGAAATAAAAAGTTTCTTTTATAACTTTTCTTTACCAATATTCCCAGGAAATTTTCATTGTACTAAAATATATTGTTGTCGGACAAAAAACAGCTTCCACACACAATTTGTTAATATAAAAAATATACGAGAAAGGTTTTTGTTTGCTATAAAACAAAAGACACTAAATAGAAATTAAAAATAATATATTTTTTCAAGTGGCTTAACTTTGATTTGAAATATATTTTCCAGCAAAGTATAAATCTAAATTTGCGCGTTAGAGGAACCTTTTTCTAAGAATCTGTCTTTGAGAACTATAAATCTAAGTAGACTGTAATATATAATAGGGAAGTAAAATTGTGGGGCCGTGAAGTCAAGAAATAATGTTCACATGTAATCGTCAGAAGAGATCCTGTGCGGAATCATAAAATGCCATTTTAGTTGGAATATATTTGAAGCAGACACAGAACTTTATTCAAAGTAATTTTTTTATCTTAATTGATTTATTTAAGTTAACATTCATTATTCTCAAAGTATATATTGTTGAATAATTATTCTCGAAACTGGGTCCCAGAAAATTATTAATGCAATATGGCGCCACACAAATGAATTAAGAATGATGATATAAACTTTGCAATAAATTGTTATTAATTAAGACATTTACAGAACTCGTAAAGTAATTATTTTCAAAACCCGATATCTATCAGTGATTGATTCTGTTAGTATAAAATTATGACATTTTGTAAAATTTGATTAATTATAAGATAGTCCCAAAACCTTTAATGGTTTTATTTTTTACGTTTCTAAAACAAACATTAATCATTATAATCTTCAATAATCTGTTATTACTACCTAAATTACAGTATAATTATTTTAATGCACATGTATGTATTTTGATATTTTAATAATTTACGGCGGAAATTATGCTGCTAATTAAAAATAAACCGGCGGGTTAATAACGTGCCCCCCGATAAGTTATAACTTTATAGACCATAATGTTCAAAATATCTCATAAAGCATAACTTTACAACGGCATTAAATAAATATTGCGAATATCGGCGGAAAAGTGTTAACGATAATAAAAAAACTTGTGGCCTTACAATTTTGGAAAAACTCCGTCAAATAATTTGTACTCGCTCACAAACAAGCCACTTTTCAAAACTGAACCGCAAAAGTTTGTTTGAAAAAACCGGCAAAGAGTTTTTGCGCACGATTGCGAGTTCGCGGCTGCTAAGGCGCACGTTTACTTGCGTAGGGACGCGTCGGGACGCTGCTATGCTTCTGCCTGCTGTTCCAAACAGGGCACATCGACTACTGATATCTCTATGTGGATGTAATTTTTTAGGGAGGCTGGACAAGGAGCCTTGCGCACGCGCCCATCGCAACGCCTAACTCTACACCAGAAAACACTAACCGCTATGCATTTTGAATTTTACGAAAAAATAACCCAACCGCCATTTTCAACATTTTCTTGTCGAATGTAAATTGTTTTTAAATTAAAAGACACTTTGCTGTGCTTTTCAGACGTTTTGTAATACTTAATAAAAATAATAAATATTTTTGCGCTACCGTATTCATAAATTATTTTATCTCCACGCGGTCTATAATTTAAACTTTATTGTTGTCAACATTCGATAAAGAAATACCTTGTTATGGCCTAGGCCGATAAAAAATTTTATGAGGCAAGTAATTAGTTCGATTTTTTCTCGCTAGGGGTATTGTTTTGACAAATTAATCCTTTTTTAAGAAATTAACGTACCAAACTGGTTTAATTTATTTATAATAAGCACGAATTTCTTTGTTTTACTGTTAATGTTTAATATTTTTCATTAAATTATTGTAAAATTAAATATGAATAATAAAACAAAAAGTGAGGTTAGGCAACCAAGAAAACGCACGACTCTTTTTCTACGATTTAAATTATCTTTACGTTTTAATTTGCTTTGAGTTTTCAGTAAAACTAAATGTTAAACACAGCTTAAACATTCCAAACTACCTATTTTTAAATAAAAATCCAAACAAATTGAAATTAGATACCTACATATTTATTAAACAATTAATTGAGTTTAATGTAATATCAAAAATCCATTTCTACTTAAATCATGTTGCTAGGTATTGTCAAACTATTACTGCTTCTAAAAGCAATAATAATTATAGTACATTTAATGTAATCTTTAGCTAATAAATAAATGAGATTCTAAAAAAGTGAGGTTAGGCCGCTTTGATGTTGAATTAAATTGACCTATATAAAGTGCTTTGAAGATAAAATGTTGTATGCCATTCGGCCAAGAAGTGCCTTTTTGTGCTTCGCTTAAACCTTGAGCTTAGCACAAAAAGCCTTACTTCTTAACCTAATGACATAAATAGATTGCAAATATTTATTTATTTAAATTATGTTATTAATAATATATCAACTAAAATATTTGTACAATTATTACAATTTATAATAATAGTAAACATATAAAACTACTTTTGTTATAGAAATTAGTCACTAAGTATAATCTCCCAAAATTTCTGTTGAGACATTAAGTTTCTCAGGATCCTGGGTATGATTTTCTCTAATAAGATGAGAATTTTTATTGCTCCACTAACGGCAATTTTCATTTAGATAAAAAGTACACTAATCGCTAAAGCAAATGTTTTTTTAGTATTTTGATCTGATTTGTTATTTTATTGGTCATGATTTCACAAAATTCTATTCGCCTGTCTGCATCATCAGTGCTAAGTTCTTGTGTGATATGCATTTTTAATGGGTGATATTTCAACAGGCTTAGATACCGAACTAGGTGATATTGTGATATTACCTTTTAACAGTTAATTATTAATTTAGTCGAATTCTCCCCTCCTATGAGCTGCTATGATGCGTGAGCTGTTTACACCCAAAACGAAAATACGGTGTAACTTGTTGGGAGAAAAATAAGCAGAACTCGTTAAAATGTTAAGGTGGTGACAGTAAAAAGCGACAACATAAAAGCGGTTAACACGGCAAAATATTTTGCTTTCGTTTGTTTTAAAAAAACAAATTTATGAACAAATATATAGTTTTATAAATGTTTGGCTTCGTTCTTTAGTGCTTGAAAGCAATCTGGTTGAATTTCTATATAAACTTTTATTTGCGTTATTTTGAGAGACTATAACAATATGTATGGTTTAAAAGTTAAGCATTAATAACATCATACAACGGTGCAGTTACGGCGTTCAATATAAAAGTAATGATGTTAAGTTTATACAGGGTGTTTGTCAAATATGAAATTTAAAATAGGTTGTTAATGTATAACTTCAGAAAGTGCTATTGTGCTAGCGAAACAAGTTTTTTATCAGTTTCATCAAGTAAAGGTCGAAAAAATAAAATAAAAATTTCATTTTGTCGCCCAGTGGAATTTTATTGTTGAAATCGATGTGCTTGATTTAATTAAAATAATATTGGGTGATTGGTTTGGAAGAAATGGTTTAACGGTGGATCCAATTAGTTGAAAAAGTTAAAAAGTAAGTAAGTTTAATTTGATGTGGTAAGAACAGATGCAGTAATTAGAAAACAAAGTCCGTAACAAAATTAGCGAAAACCTGACCGTAACACGGTGAAAACTAAAAACAAACACCGATCGCACGTGGACAGAGTTGCCACGACGCGACGGTATTGATAAAACTTTATCCGGAAAGTTGTTCGTTCGGTGTACAGTTTGTTACAGGTGTGTGGCTGAAAAGTTTTCGAAAATTATGCTAATGCAGAAAGACAGATTAGAAAAATATGGATGAGAAAAGTAAAAGAAGAAGTCGAAGCATAACGGCAAACAAATTCCGAACGTTTAGGGTTTCGATCGAGCGACCGGTGGCTCTGGATTTATCGCGAGAAATCACGAGACTGTTCGATGTAAATTACCGTAGAAAGCAGCGCATTTCGGAGTACATGTGCGATTCCATCCGTGCGACAAGACGTAGCGCCTTCAGATCGAGTGAGCCGCGGCTGGCTCAGGGCCCGGCGCATGCTGACGAGATCAGGGAGCTCGCCGCAAACTGTCCCTCGACCGGCATGTCTCGATTTCAAGTGAGAGACATTAAAAAGCAAATTAACGGGCGCGGTCTCGAGGAAAAGTACCCACAGCTTCTAATGGCCATCATGAGCGAGACCAAAGAAAATTATCTGAGAATAACGCATTTAGCAGGAGTGAATATGAAAGTTAAGCCGCCCGATGCCGGCGAACGCTTCATTATAAAGCCTTTTAAGTATTTAGGCAAAACAGAAAACTACCCGAACTATCTGCTCGTCAAGCAGCAATTATCTCTTAAATGGATTCTTCATAAACCCGTTATACAAAAGTTATTAAAGGAGTGTGTTGTAAATTTGCCCTACGAGATTTTAAATTTAAATTTGGACTCGGTGTTAACCATAGAAGATTTTAAGATAACACTGTCGGATAAAATCGGCAAAGGGAAACAGTTGATTCAGGATTTTTACGTAAAAATTTTAAACATGATCGAACGCTTCGGTGAGAGTAGCATACCATACTATGGGGCATGCACCGGATTGCTATCCGTACATTTGAGTAGAACAATGGCTCATACATTGCTACACATTGTCAATTTTACCACCAATAAAGATATGAAGCCTTACTTATTAATGCAGGTAAAATTTGACAGGAGATTAATTTTAACACCCACTCTGGAGGATGTTATTGAAGTCTACAGGGAGCTATTTAAGAACATTTCTCAACTCATCACAAAAATCAAGTCAATTGACAACCCCAACAAACACTTATCACTTTGTTTAACGGACGAGTTTTTACAGTCTTGCTTGAAAAAAATCCAAAACAACATAGAAACGCAATATAAACCAATCCTGCAATATCTTGAAAAATTCGACAATAAATTCTCAGTTTTGTATCCCGACATATGCTCTGATGCTCTGCTAAATACAATAGTAGACATAGATTTCGACTTTGGTTGTGCGAAACTTAAATATTACAAGCAATACATAGATAAAGTGCAGTACATACCGAACAAAGAATACTTTTCTGGCGGCCAAGTAGACTTGGTGGAATACAGGACGACTCTCTACACGAGCCTTAAAAATATAACAAACAACATTTTCAATAAGCTTCGCTCGCAGCACTATTGGGAAACGAATGATATCTGCGAATCTTTCCAGCTAATTTACATGAGATCGCTAAAGAAAACAGAAACCACCGAAGAACTAATTGAAACCGGAAAATTTATGATACATGTAAAAGACGAGCTCCTGCAAAGTTTAATCGATAGGGTGCATGCATCCATAGAATTTCTTTCCAGAATTATTTTATTGGGAATTTTGTCGAAAGAACATATTAAAACAAACTCGATGATAGTAAATTGGTTGGATTTAATTCCGCCCGCCATCGAGCAACATACGGCTGTTTACGAGCAACTTAAATTCGAAGCTGAGGAAAAACTACAAAAAATGATTGAAGATGTCAATGATGCTATCCAAGAAGTGTTTCCCTTATTGGTCGCTTTAGACGACATGGATAATATATGCAAAGCCAAAAGCTACCTCAACAGCATTGTGGTCTTCATGAAGAAAATACAAAATGTGGAAGAACAAATATTTCTGATAAACCAAGAAGAGGTTTGCTTAAGTTTCCCCAAGTCAAATTATGCAGAGTATACAAACCTGAAGAACTACGTGTATCCTTTCTATCACCTTCTTAAGCTTTGCCTTGATATCCAAAGAAACTTATCGGTGTGGCAGGATGGCCAGTTCGATAGACTAAACTATGAAATAACAAGTAAATATGTGGACAAGTACTATAACGAACTTCTGGATACCCAAAAGAGTTACAGGAAAAAACTTCGGCAAGCTCAAGACGACAATATCCCAGTTCGTTTTAAAGGCACCATCGACGATCCAGATATTCTCAATTGGCCCGCGCCATTAAAACTGTGCAATCGAGCTATTAAAATGATAGAGGATTTTAAGCCTTCAATAAGGGTGATGAAAATAATGTGTAATGGTGCTTTACAATTAAGGCATTGGAGAGCCATGTCGGAGATTGCAGGCTTTGATATGGCTCCCAATGCAGGAACAACGCTAAGAAAAATTATGCAATACGATCTGCAAGGAAATCTGGATAAGTACGAGATAATAAGTTTGGGGGCCCAGAAGGAAAAAATATTGCTCGAGAGTCTCGAGCAGCTTAAATTGGAATGGGAAACTATTAAGTTAAATACCACGGTGATCAATGACAAGTTAGTTTTGGATTCGCTAAATCAGGTATTTGAAGTTATCGATGATCATAACATAAAATTACTTCAAATGAAAGCATCGGTTTTCGTGCAGCCCTATAAAAAACAAGTCGAGGAATTTCATGAAGTTGTTTTAGCAGTTAACTTGGTATTGGAGATATGGCAGAATTTTCAATCGCAATGGCTAAAGCTAAGTCAAATGTTTTTGCTGGACAGTGTAAATAATTTTTTGCCGAGAGAGTTTAAAGTGTTTCAGGAAATTAACAAAATTTTCTGCCACTATGTGGATTTAATAGAAAAGGAGCCGCTGGTAATGCACGTTATACGTAGCACAAACATTCTAGAGGAAGTTAAAGTTTGTTTGGATAAATTAGAAACTGTAAATGAAGGTGTAACTTGGTACTTGGAAAGTATCAGACATTATTTCGCAAGGTTTTACTTTATGCCCAACGAAAATTTAATCCAGATGATATCCGAATCGAAGTATCCTTGTAAAATACAACAATATCTGAGCAAATTATTCCAAAGCATAAATGAATTAAATATAAAGGAGAACGATATTGTCGGAATGACAAGTGTGGAGAAGGAAAATATTAATTTTCTGGAAAAGATCGACGTAACAAAATCAAAAGGTAATCTCGAGAAGTGGCTGTTCCAAACTGAAAAACAAATGGTTGAAACTTTAAGATCCATGCTTATAGAATGCAGAAAATATTGTAAGAAAGATACTTTCGCGGAATTGTTTCGAAGATGGCCTGAACAAATACAGCAGCTACACACGCAAGTTTTATTTACAGAAGCAATGGAGAATGCTTTAGTGGGAAGCAAAATTAGGTTGCGGCTATATTTAAAAAAAGTCGAGAACGCTATACAGGAAAAAATAAAAATGTTAAACAATGGAGCGTTGAGTAATTTGGAGCGAAATAAGTTAAAGAACTTGATAATTACGGATATAAATAATAAGGGTGTAGTTAAGCTGTTGCTGGAGAATAATGTGAGTCGTGGCAATGATTTTAATTGGGAAATGCAATTAAAATATTACCAACAAAGTGAGAAGTGTTACGTTAGAACCCTGAAATGCACGATCAATTATTTATTCGAATATCAAGGCAATCTGAAGCAAATTATTATAACTCCATTAACAGATCGATGTTTTAGATCCCTAATTAATGCAAATTGCTTACACCTCAACGCTTTAATACAAGGTGCCGCCGAAACGGGCAAGACTGAGACGGTAAAAAGTTTGGCCAAAGCTTTCGCTGTATTGATCATAACCTTTAACTGTTCCGAATGCTTTAATTATCAAACGATTGAAAAGTTCCTAAAAGGTGCCGCCATGTGTGGCTCATGGCTGTGCATTAAAAAAATTAATTTGGTGCGAAGCGAAATTTTGTCGATTGTTTATCAGGACGTTTTAGCGATTGCAACGTCAATTAAGAGCAAATTGCTTCGCGTCGCACTACAGGGAAATGTAATAAACGTGAACCCCTCGTGTTTTGTGTCTATGACGGTCGACATCAACAAATCAACGAGCCATTTTCCAGAAAACTTCAAGCTGCTATTTAGATGTATTACGATGACTATGCCCGATCTTGGAATTATCACTCAAGTGGGATTGCATTCACTTGGTTTTCTGCACGCTCCCCAACTGTCAAACAAGATTAATACATCTTTTAAGATTTTTAACGACTACTTCTTCAGTGAAAAATCACAAAACTTCGGACTTGACTGTATTAAACTACTACTAAAATGCTGCGAAACTTTCAAACTGAATCACCCCGAGCTGGATGAAGAAGGTGTTGTTCTTAATTCAATTAAGAAACTCATTACCCCAAGAATTTTAAATACGGATCTTAGTATTTTATGTAATACCCTTGGGGACTTATTTCCTTTAAACACTACACTGGATAACAATAACCAACATCTTAACGATGCTATTACGAAAACTTGTCAGCTCCTTAACCTTATTCCAAACGATTTACTCCGCTCGAAGATAATTGAAATGCACGAATATGTCAAAATAAAACACGGAATTATCATTACGGGAAATACGTTCAGCGGTAAAACCACCATACTAAAAATTTGCGGACAAATAGCCGAGTCGCAAATTATTTGCAGTTTTATCAACCCGAAAACCCTAAACTATCAACAACTATTCGGTACATTTTGCCCTTTATCCCATAAATGGTCCGATGGAGTCGTAACAAAGATTTTAAAGTACAGCAATAAAGAATCCAAAGCACGATGGTTAATATTTGACGGAAACATCGATTCCGCTTGGATTGATAATATTAATAATCTATTAGAAAATGAAAAAACCTATTATATCTCATCAGGAGAAACTATTAACCTTAATAACAACCAATCGATATTATTTGAAGTTAAAGACCTCAGCACCGCTTCTCCCACCACCGTAAGTAAATTAACTTTAGGCCATGAAGACTAAATACAGGAGAAACTTGCCAGTATCTGTGGGGGCCTAACTTTTGCGTCTTGTTCGTCTGCTTCCGTTTCATTGTCCACGTTTAGTTGTTCGAAAATTGGTTTCAAGGAAGATTCAGCTAGTCTTACTGACTTCAAAGAAGTTTTATTTAATATTAAATTATTATAAATTTTAAATCATAATCATAAACATTGGAAACATCTGGACACTGGTTACTCCTCCTTTATTTAGTCTCCTTTCTTCAACGTTTTATTTCTATCATAATTTTTCTTTAAGATTTCGCGTTGCGGCGTTGTTCACGTTGACTCAACCGCTGTTACCTGGAAATGCATTGTGGACACGTGGTCATCTGCTTATAATTCAGACTACCTAAAAAATCACAAAGAATATATCAAAGACTTGTTTTACTGGATATGCACGGCTTCAATACCCTTCCTGGAAAGGAATTGTCGACAGCTTTGTTATCCAGGCGTTTTAAGTCAAGTCAAAACAACACTCAATTTAACGCAAATATTTTTGGAAGAAGCCCTATCAAAGGATCACGATTTGAAAAACATTATATCCTGGATACAAGCAACAATACTTCAAACTGGAGTGTGGGGAATGGGAGGGATTTTAGATGTACAATCAAGGTTAAAGTTCGACGAATTTTACAAGCTCTTATGGAGGGGCCAAAATAAAGACCATCCCTACCCACAAGGCATGGACAAACTAGAAGTCACCATACCGCAAGAAGGCATCCTCTTCGACTACACCTACATATACAAACAAAGAGGAAACTGGAAATTATGGGTCGACATATTGAAAACGCAGAAATTGGTGGAATATCCGTACATGATGAATTTCATTGTGCCAACAATCGAAACAATCCGCTATAGTAACATAATAAATTTACACGTAAAATACAAACAAAACGTATTGTTAATCGGCCCTTCAGGCACAGGAAAAACCATTGTGGTCGAAGATTGTTTAATCAATAGAATCAATCCAACCCAAACGCATATTTCCAGGGTCGCTTTCAACGTTAATTTAACTGCCCGTGAAATTCAATCGCTAATATTATCGAAATTAAATAAGAGAAAATCCGGCTTTTATAGCCCACCTGGCGGAAAAGATTGTTTGATATTTTTGGAGGATTTAAATGCGTCCCAGAAAGATGAGCATGGTGTTGTGCCAGTTATAGAATTATTGCGACAACATTTAGATCATAATGTTTGGTATGACGTTAAAACCCTAAACGAAATTTATCTGAAAAATGTCAAGTTTATAGCAAAACTGGGAATTCCCGGTGGCTATAAACAAGAGTTATCATCAAGATTCCTAAGACACTTTTGCGTTTACTCGGTTAATCATTTTTCCTGCGATACTATATCGAAAATATACTCATCAATTCTGCAATACACGTGGAAAAAAGCTAACTTTCCCAGCGACACTATGAATATGGTTAATCACTTAACGCAAGCCACTTTACACGTTTATCAACAAGTTAAACAACACTTTAAGCCAAATATCAACCAACCACATTACGTTTTTGATCTAAGAGATTTCTCAAGAATAATAAAATCCTGTTTGTTTCTCAAAAAAGAGACTTATGACAGCAACAAAAAAATATACATGAAACTTTGGACTCACGAAGTCTTAAGAACCTTTGGAGACAGGCTCAACTCCAAAGAAGATAAACAATGGTTATTTGAAAATATTAAACATTGCTTTAACACTTATTTTGAAGAAAGTATAAATGATATTTGCGAGAATTTGCCTAAATACGACGAGGAAGTAACTATGAGTTCCTTGAATAATCTATTATTTGGATTTAGCGATGAAAAAGACAATGACAACAACCACAAATACGATGAAATCATTAATGTTGCCACTCTATTGGACATTGTCAACAATGTATTGGTGGAATATAATAACGCAAACAAATTTAAACTGGATATAAACGTATTCGAGGACTCGCTCATAAGGCTACTAAAACTGAACAGAGTTCTTAAGACAAATCCCGGAAACGCTTTATTACTCGGCATAAGTGGTTCCAGCAGATTAAGCCTGTCAAAACTGGCAAGCTTCATGTGCAATATAAAGGTAATCCAGCCTAAAATAACTTCAAGCTACAATTTAAACGACTGGAACAATGATGTAAAGGCTGCGTTAAGAGAGACTGGCGGATTTGGTAACCAAGTGCTTTTTATAGTGCGCGAGTATGATCTTCTGGATGATCAATATTTTGATAATATTAATTATTTGTTGAAGGAGAGCGAAATCCCCACGCTATATAGCCCCGAGGAGAGACAGGATATATTGGAATTGGTTAGATTATCGGCACAAGATGGCAATAGAAATGTTGACATAAGCTCCACTTCGGTTTTTATGTTCTTTCATAAACGATGTATTATGAATTTGCACATATTTTTATGCCTTAGTCCTGTTGGAACAGCATTAAATAAAAGACTCAGTATGTATCCCTATCTTACAAACTGTAACGTAATCTGGTGGGACGATTGGCCAGATCGATATTTTCAAAGTATTGCAACCGTATACCTAAAGGAAGTAAACTTGCTGGATGATGTAAAGCATAGTTTGTTGGACGCGTTTATTTTCTTTCACAGAAACGTTCAAGAAAAATCTAAAACGGTGTTGAAATTTCGTAGAAAACTCTACATAACCACTTCGCATTACACGCACATGATAAGGTTGTTCGTGGAATTAATAAACCAAAAACAGACCAGCCTTCTGGACACCAAAAAACGATACACTTTGGGCTTAAACAAACTATCCTTTGCCGCAGACCAAATTTTAGAAATGCAAAAATCCTTGGCCGAATATCAACCTCAAGTGGAGGAGATGACTCAAAAGGCCATCGAAATGACTAAACAAATAGCCTTGGAGACGATAGAAGTCGAAAGAGCGTCAGCTCTAGTGAGAACCGATGAAAAAGTGGCACACAAACAGGCCGAGGTGGCCCAAGTTCTTAAATCCGAATGCGAAGTCGAGTTGGCTCAGGCAATCCCAATTTTGGAGGATGCCATTTCGGCCTTGAACACCCTCAAGCCATCGGATATAACGTTGGTTAAGTCCATGAAAAATCCGCCGGATGCCATAAAGCTGGTAATGGCGGCTGTTTGTGTGATTAAAGATGTCAAACCTGACCGAATACCTGACCCGTCCACGGGACGAAAAACTTTGGACTATTGGGGGCCTAGCAAAAGAATCCTAGGCGATATGAATTTTCTGCAAACCTTAAAAGATTTCGATAAGGATAATATTAGGCCGGAAATCATGGTTAAAATTCGGAAGGATTATTTGCCTCATAAGGATTTTAAGCCGCATGTTGTTGCAAAAGCGTCCAGTGCCGCTGAGGGTCTCTGCAAATGGATTATAGCCATGGATATGTATGATAAAGTAGCTAAGGAGGTGGCGCCAAAAAAGGAAAAACTTGAAAAGGCTGAGAAAGAATATGCTGAAACTATGAGAGTTTTAAACGAAAAGAAGGATGAGGTGGCTAGAATTGAGGGCAAGTTGGCATCGCTGAATCAATTATTGTGCGAGGCCAGGGAAAAACAACAAAAGTTACAAAAAGAAGTCGATCTTTGCAAGAAGAAGTTAATAAAAGCACAAAACCTGATAGGGGGGTTAAGCGGTGAGAAAGTTCGCTGGACTGAAATATCGGAAAAATTGCAAAGTCACTTTGACTGTCTGACAGGCGATATAATGTTATCAAGTGCTTGTATATCATATTTATCTGGTTTTATAAAGCAGGAAAGGGCGGAAATAGTTAAAGCATGGTTTGATTATGTCGTTGAAAAAAAAATTTCTTCCAACGAAGTTTTTTCTATAAGGGACATTCTTGGTTCTGAGGAAGAGGTGGAAAAATATTTACACATGGAAATGTTCAATGATTCCATATTTATTGAAAATGCACTTATAGTGAGTCATACAAAATTTTATTGTTTATTTATAGATCCTCAGTACAGAGGTAGCGCTTTTGTAAAAAATATAGAAAAAAGTAACAATTTAGTCGTAACAAAACTTACAGAAAATTATTATGAAAAAATTATTGAATGCATGCAATCCGGACGACCTATTTTGCTACAAAATATAGGCCATAATATTCCATACAGACTTATTCCATTCATAAATAAGCAAATCATAACCGAGGATAACAATACATATTACTATATAAACGACTTAAAATTGAAATACCACCGAAACTTTAGATTCTACTTATTTACGAATAAAGCGAATCCTCATTATTTCCCGGAAATATGGAATAAATTCACAATCATTAATTTCCATATAACAAAAGCAGCTCTAACTGATCATCTGCTTAATGTAGTTGTTGAAATTGAAAAACCCGAATTTAAAAGTCTCAAAATTGATTTGACCAAGAAAATGAGAAAAAACAAGGCTGAGATTAAAGAATTAGAGAAGAAAATCTTGTACACTTTAACGGAATCTGAGACGGACATTTTGGAAGATGAAGGTTCGATAAAAATATTGCACGAGTCAAAGGATTTGGCTAAGATTATAAGGCTTAAGCAAGAGGCGTCCAAGAAATTGCATTTGCCCATAATAGAGTTTCAGAAGGATTATTTCGACGTTGCCAATCATGCTTGTTCCATGTATTATTGTATTAATGACTTGCATTGCGTCAACTATTTATATCAGTTTTCATTGAAGTGGTTTATGGATGTCTATTTTAACTCTATTTTGAAGTCTAGTATATCCAGGGTGGTTGAGGAGAGGAGGGCAAATTTAAAGGATACGTTGACTTATAGTTTATTTTCGAATGCTTCGGAATCTTTGCATAATAAGGATAAAATTCTGTTGGCCTTCTTGATAACCTGCAGGATTATGCTTAGTGACAATGAGATAACCAAAGAGGAATATTTGTTTTTTATTTGTGGTAAATGTGAGATAAAATTGCAGGTGGAAAATCCTGTGAGCAACCACATTGCTGATGATAAATGGAACAATGTTTGCCATTTATACATATTACCGATATTCCAGGATTTTACAGAAAATATCATAGAAAATATATGCGACTGGAATAATTTTTTAACTAATCAAAATCCTTTTGCCAGTAAAATACCACATAAATGGGAAAATAAACTCACTTCTTTCCACAAGCTAATCCTAATAAATTTACTGAGACCTGAGAAATTATATGACGCCATCCCAATGTTCATATCAAATAAAATTGGCGATAAGTTTATTCATCCCCAAAAATTCGATATTAATGAAGTTTACAACAAATCTTACAGTATACAGCCTGTCATATTTTTACTGACAACCGGCGTCAATCCTTTAAATGATCTACACAAACTGGTGGCGCAGAAAAGGTACACAAATAAATTCCACGCGATGTCAATGGGTTCGAAGGACTTTAACGCAGCTACCGAACTATTGGAAAACGCCAAGAGCCGAGGTTCTTGGGTATTCCTACAAAACTGCCATTACGCGAAAAAATGGCTGATTAAGGCGGAATCGATTGTCGAGAACATGGATTATCAAAACACTCATGAAAATTTTCGTTTGTGGTTAAGTTTCGAGCCATTCCCTGAAATTTCCGCAACACTACTTCAGAACTCTATTAAAATAATCAACGAGCCGCCGCAAACACTCAAACAAAAACTTCTGAAGTTATATAATGAAGAGCCTATTTGTAACGAGGAGTTTTATAGAGGTTGTCCAGGGAAGCATACTGCTTTCGCGCGTTTATTGTACGGGCTGACCTTTTTTCACTGCAACGTACAGGCAAGGCAGAAATTACTTTCTCCCAGCGTTCCCTATTTATTCAACGACAATGATTACCTAGTGTCAACACAGCAATTGCAAGCCATAATAAACGAGGAAACATTCACATATAGAAAATTAATTTACATTATAGGAGGCATTAATTACGGGGGTTACATTGCGAGCCAGTACGGCAAGGAGTTGCTCGCTGTTTTATTAAAAGAGTGCCTCAATAAGACTGTGGTTCAGAAAAGCACTTTCTTGTTTAACAACGTGGTCAATTACGGTTTACCCAATAAGAATGACCACCAGGACTTCGTACAATACATTGAAAACCTGCCCGTCAACGATACCCCTGAGATTTTTGGACTTCACCCAAATTCGGATCTTAGAAGAGGTTTACTGTACAAGTCGGAATTTTTAACGTCCTTACTTACCGCGGCCAGATTAAATCATAAAAATAAGGTGGAGGGAAATGAAACAATAATTTGTTGTATGACCGGCGATGTGCTGAACTATCTTCCTATGTTTATCGATGACATCGAAATGGACGTGCGTGATTGCAGATTTTACGTAATTAAAAAGGAAATCCGGTTATTGAATCTGATTTTAAAAACAGTCAAAAGCAATCTGAAATTAATTCAGGGCGTATTGAACGGGAGCTCGCAACTAAACAAAGAAGTAAATGACGCAATGGAAGCCATGTTAAACAACGAAATACCAAAAGTTTGGCTTGCCGGAACTAATGATGTTTATGGTAATAATTTGCCCATATTCATAAAATCCATTACAAACAAGTTTAATTACTTCAAATTGTTAATAGAAAGCCATGGGGATCTGGATGAGCACTTGATATCAGCTTATTTCAACCCAAAAGGATTAGTTTGGGCCATTCAAATGAACTACTCCAAAGAACACAGCATATCTCTGGAAAACGTTGTAATAGAGCATGCGTTTTCGGATGAAAAAATTAACAGGGACTCGCTAAAAATGTCGCCCTTGTATATCATGAATGCATTATGGAATAAAGAAACCAATCTTTTGATAGAAAACACTACCAAAGAGTTGTACACTTTGACGCCCCCCATAATATTCAAACCAATTTTAAAGGACAAAAGTCGCAAATACAATCAATTTAAATGCCAGCTTTATTATAGGCAGACAATTAAACCAATCTTCGAAAAAAATAACAACTACATTATGTCAATATTTCTTAATACCGATGTAAATCGCAGCCAGTGGATTAAAAAGGGCGTTGTTTTGTATTGCGAAGTTGATTAAGTAAATATTTAAACTAAGAGAAATATTTGTTTTATTTATTAGCACAGCCATAAAATTAATATTTACTTTTCCGTCCGGCAAAATCATTTCAGAAGTGTAGAGCCTTCAAAGTCCGGGACTCTTCAAATGCACCTTGGGGAAGACACCCTGGATTTATATACATGTTCCCGCCCAGTCTATTACATCCTAGAACACCACAAGTTTAACTTCTCCAACATTGCTCCACTTTCAACTTTGCAGGGCCGGACTTAATCTTATTCTTAATACAGTTTTTATTTTAGTTTTCTCTCAGCATGTTCCGGATCTTTAACATTTGAGTCAGGTTTGCTGTACGAAATTTTATGATCCCTTCGAGTATAGTTGTGAGTTTCCCCAGTTCAACATAACAGTTCAGACTGGCATTCGTCAAGTAGCACAGATTAAGCTTTTAGTTTGAAAAAAAAAGACAAAGAATTTTAAAATATTATTTTGCTTTCGAATGAATGAATCGATGATGAAAGCAACACGCCATTTTTGCGACGGCATTCTAAACTTTCCTCGACCGAATTTAAATTTAAACAAAAGCTTTGCGATTTAAAATTTCAATACATTAGTTAGAAAGTTATTTACAATAGCAACTTGTTTAAAACTGTTTGCGGAATATTTCATGAAAAGTAATATCATATTTTCATTATTGTTTTTTATTTCAACACACCACGCCAATGTGAATGCTAGCGATGTATTGAGGGTAATGTGGTAAACACACAGCAACAATTAAGCTCTTACCAAAATGTTTATTACCCACAAAGTTACATCCACACCCTCATGTATTACACTGATCAACAAAATTAAATTTTTTCTTTGCCATAGGGTAATTTGGGTTCGCAAAATTTTAACATAATGTAATTAATAATATTAATTACTGATTATATTGCATACCAACTATTTTTTATTAAAATTATACAGGGTGTCTCGAAAAGTACCAAGTAATAGAGTTCAAATAGTATTTTTCAAATTAAAAGTATTACTTTTTAATAATATTTTTTATCCCGGCGCATTCGCCATTTATTATAATAATAATTATTAAAAGTAAAAAGTAAGGTTAGGTAGATCTGACAGAAGTATTTTTTATTTGAAATACTTATTACTCGTACTTGCAAACCAAATTCAATGTACTCGTAATTTATACTAGTATTTCCGTGTATTATATCGATGACTTTTTGCCAAATTATCGTAAGCATCAAAACATTTTGTTTGAAAGTCTATTATATTATATTATATATTATATAATTTAAAACAGACTTCCAAAAAATATACATATTATAGCCTATAGGTTTTATAACAAGTATATAGGTAAAATTATAAACTATTTAAGAATTGTTATTTTTATTTATTATTTTATGTACAAGGTGATCCCCAATAATGTGGCCCCCTTATAATTTTTTATTTTAAGGGTCCCAAAAAATTTAAAAGCGTGGTTAAGTAGGTACTACAAAATCCTTTTTTTCTACGTATAAAAAAATTGTAAAATTGATCATTATAAAGAAAAAAACAAAAAGTTTATTTTTTCTCAATAGATCACCCTATATATAAATTTATTTTTCGATTTCTTGTAAAATTCTAAGCATAATTTATATAACATACCATATACCTAAATTCAACCGTTTCTGAAATATTTAAATTATTTTTAAGATAATAAGTTTAAATAGTATGTCTTTCTTGGTCTGAGTATGCCATTTTTACTTACTTAAGAAGACATATTGACATAATGACATAATAAACATTTTTTTTATTCTAAGGCTTCTTGATTTGTAAAAAAATATATGATGATAACGGTTCAAATATCAAATATGGTATGTTATATGATTTATGCTTAGAATTTAACAAGGAATCAAAAAATAATTTTATAAATTTGTATTTGTATTTTTATAGTTCAGGACCAAAGTATGAACGTATAATGTATAAAGAATATTCAATTATATTAACTAGCATTTTTTTTAAGTTCTCGTACTCTTTACTCGTGTTTTCACGATTACTACTCGTAACAGTAACCTCCCTTTACAAATGTACTTGTAAATATTTGAAGTACTCGTACTTAAAATTTACGAATACTTTTTTTAGTACTCGTGCCCAGCTCTGTTTAGTAGTGAGTGTTGACAATATGGTAGGACAAATTCGCTGTGACATAAATTGATATTTACACAGTACAATAGCATTTATATATTTTTTTATGTAATGTTTAAAATTAATATTAATAATTGAAAAATAGCTTCATAAATAAAATATAAATGACATTACTGTGTACGCGAAATATGCAAATAAGAGTAATATATTTAAATAATGTATAAAATTTGAGTATTGTAACAATTAATTACAATAATGGAATTACGAAAATCATATTATTATTTATTATAGTCCAATAAAAATAACTAATTTATTCAAAAAATATAGGATGTACGAGTATTTTAATTACATTTTCATTAATTTCCTATTAATTTATTAATCGCAATTAAAAATTTTGAATCTATCCAATTTACTATTCATTGTGTAAAATATATTTTGTTGGGATACAGATAATAAAATTTGTTTGTGAGTTGACCTTAAATCCGGGGTTTGAATATCGGCGTGTGAAGCAATCGGTATTCACATCATTCTCTTGACTACTCTTGAAAAATGGCGCCACAGAATGCTGGATATAATCCTGGTCACATATCCGAGATATGATCCTTTCATGACACGAGTATATAAAGCGAGGGACCCACCTCAGGTGGGGTCCGGCCATCGACAATCCTTGATTGAGTCTGATTCCCTTTTCCCTTTTCAATTCGAACTTGTTAGTTTCTTGTTTCGAACGCGATACAATACGATTTAATTCTTCAGCAATTTTATCAACTATAATAATCTCACCTCTGCTTCCACACTTATTCCAGGCTGTAATTAGTCAACAACGCCGATAAACAGGATTATTAGTATTCGATGTGCGAAATATGTTAATTGTGTTTACTAGATGGTACGGCATTATTATATCTACCCTCGAACGCTCCAATAACTTTGCAAACTATCAATGTGATATCAAAAGTTATTCAACATACGTTAGTTAGAAAATCAATTCGATAATTAAATTGTTTTTTCTACTCCCACCTTTACATGTTTCTATGACACTATGTGACCTTTTAAATACACATTGACAAGTTGTGGCTTTATGGCGCTTTAGTCACGGGCTGAAGTTAGTTTTAAGTTAGTTGACAGTTGTCAAATGTCATACAATCGTTAAAATAAAGTAACTTTCTTGTAAAATAATACTAAATGTGAAAATTATTTTATTACCTCAATACAAACGTACAAAAGTATTAAATAGTTTCTCAACGCCAATATTTGAAAAGTTTATATGAACATTGTACTGACCTTTTAATTTCGCCCGCAGTATTTTCTTTACTTTCATTGTGAAAAACTGCCAATTTTCAAGAAATACATTTCGATTTATAACCCTTATAGTCTGTGTTTATAAAATAAAAAAAATTGACATTTTACGGTGACACACAGATTCCCCTATTGTTTCATAGATGGCGCTAGAGCCAATTTTTGATTTAAATCAGTTTAAGATAATAATAAGTATTTGTCGTAGAAAAAGTATAGTATGCACCTCGTTTATAAACTTTTCTTTACACTCATTAATTTAACTTGATACATAATATACTATTTTTCACTCCCAACTTTAAAACGCCCATTATAGTACATGTTTCCATTACACTAAATGACCTTTTAAATACACATTGGCAAGTTGTGGCTTTATGGTGTTTTAGTCACGGGCTGAAGTTGGCTTTAAGTTGGTTGAAAGTTGTCAAATGTCATATAATGGTTAAAATAATAATATTAATTCGTTTCTCAACGCCAATATTTCAAAAGTTTTGATTTCACTGTGAAAAACTGCTTCTATTTCGGATTTAAACGGTTGTTAGTCCATTTTCAAGGGATAAATTTAAATCATTTTTAATAAAACTCACTAAATATTGAATTAATTTTTTTTATTATAAATAACGTTGTCGTCCGTGATCTGAACTTCGTTGACTTCGGTGACGATGTCGTAGATATCCGGATTAAGTTGCGAATCGGTAGTTGTGGTGGATAATTGCGATGGTGGCACTTCTCCTGGCTTAGCCAAAGCCACTCCGTCCATTCCCATTCTCATGCAATCAAAATGCAAAACTAATAGAGACGCATGCTCGAAACGCGTCTCGAAATCTAAGCACATGTGCAAATTTTGACCGGGCGTGTGGATGTCGAAAAGTTTGGCGCACATCTCAACCGATACGGGTATGTACGGCAACGGGAGCGGTATACAAAGCGGCGGCGGATTTTTCGCTACAAATAGGTTAGTTTTTCATTGTATCCCGAAAAAAAATGTACACACTAATTAATATTAAAAAAAAATTTGACACCACTGAACATTAGTTCCGGCGTTTTTTTATAAAAAATTACAAACTTTAATATGAAATATCTTAACAATATTTTTTTTAAATTGTTGAACCATTTATTTAATTAAAGGATAACATTTACTCACCTGAAATTGTGTTACTAAAAACTGAGTTTTCGTTCATCAGCATGTTCAAAGATATCGAAAAATCGTCGGGGTCGTATGTAAAATTCATGCATCCTGTTGAAAAGAAAAAAAATTAAATAGCGTCTGACTGGTTTAAATAGGGAGATTAAAAATAAACGTTTTTCTAATACGAATTTAAATCAGTTTTTTCAAATTGCTTTTGAACAAAAAAATTATTTGTTATTGTGTTGGTTCGTTAATTAAAGTAAAAATATTTTTGAGCTCGTTTTAATTTCCCTTCTAACCGTTTTATTTAAATATAATAGCCTTTAATTTCAGGAATAATTGCTCCAATTTAGATAAAACGGCATAGATAATTTTAAATTATTTGAATGGGAGATGCGTTCGGCGAGATTATTTTTTATAATTTGTTCAAATGGCATATTTTAAATTTCTTTCTGCCTAATTTCCAAAATAAATCATTCAGCAAAAATTATTAATAATACCTTGTTGATCTTGATATGAATGAAAAAGTTTTAACACTTCAATTAAAGCACGAAGCGTTATTGAGTTGAGCGGCGTTAATTGGGCAAAATCAATCAGCGAATAGGTGTGCGGAGTTTGATATGTCAATTAGTTACCTTCTCTGTTGAAATTAAACTGTTGAAAATTGAATCCAAGACAGCAGCCGCAAGAGAGGCCGTGGCATGTGCAGCCGTTGGCCCTGTAGTCGATCCTACGTAGAATTGCTCTGGTCTTAGTGGATGATTGGTCATTGAATGGGGACGCATTCATCAAACTGTTCTTGATCGATGTGATACGGAAAGGTAATCCAGATTTCGGCTCGTAATAGTACGCAGACATCGAAGATGTGTCCGGAGCTGTAACAAAGTGACACTTTAATTTATTGTCAAACGTTTTGAATCTTGACATTTTTATCCATATTTATAGATTGCATTCATCCAGTACAACTAATGTATGCTGGAAAAGGATTATTTTTAATAAATTTTATATTTATAGGTACATATTAAATTTCCTCGGAATTAATTAAAAAGTTTTGGAAAAAACAAGTTGTGGCTTTATGGCGCTTTAGTCACTGGCTGAAGTTAGTTTTAAGTTAGTTGAGAGTTGTCAAATGTCATCCAATCGTTAAAATAAGTTGCCTTTCTTGTAAAATAATACTAAATGTGAAAACTATTTTATTATCTCAATACAAAAATACAAAAGTATTAAATAGTTTCTCAACGCCAATATTTAAAAGTTTATATGAACAATGTTCTGACCTTTTAATTTCGCCGGCAGTAAACTATAACATTTTCTTTACTTTCACTGTAAAAAACTGTCAATTTTCAAGAAATACATTTCGATTTATAACCTTTATAATTGTGTTTATAAAATATAAAAATTTGACATTTGACGGTGACACACAGATTCCCCTATTGTTTCATAGATGGCGCTCTATACAATTTTTTTTATTTAAATCATTTTAAGATAATAATAAGTATTTGTCGTAGAAAAAGTATAGTATGCACCTAGTTTATAAACTTTTCTATACACTCATTAATTTAAGCACTCGCTCGCAAGCTCGCTCGTGCCTAAATTAAATTGGTGTATAAAATGGCGTATATCAAACTTGATACATAATATACTATTATATACGTTTTAATAAACTGTAAAATTTCCAGTACCTTAATATTAATATAGAAAATGAAACCAATAAGCATTCAAGAAAATATGCAGAATAAATGTTTTTGGGGAAAAGGGAGAATTCAGAGTAGTTTGATAAAACCAGCGGTAGCTATTTGAAGCCGGTAATTATATAGTAGGAGTGTATAGTTTAATAGGTTTCGGAAACATTCAAACTACTCAAACCTTTCGTACGTATTTACTATTCGAAATCTACTACAATACAAATTTAACGTCAATATCCGCCAATTAAGCGATCTAGGTTATCACAAATATTTCCTTATTATGAATTCACTATTACTCGAATATCGAACGTATAATTTTATGGGTTTAATTGATTTTAAGTTTTACTAAATATAACAAACGTTTCCGTACCTTGTTTGAAAGCATCGATGTTTCTAACATTTAACAACCCGCACAATAAATAAATAAAATAATTATTCATATTTTATCAACGTGTCATAAACACTCGACACTTGCTCCAGCGACTGGAAAACGTTCACAAATTTAGGGTAAATAAACTTTTAATGACGTTAATAACGAACACTTTGCAGAATCGGACTTAAATTTAATCAACAATACCGCTTTGCACGCTCTTTTTAACAGTATGAATTTTGTCATGAAAACCAGGTCACTAGTACAAATCTCCACTCTATGTAGGACGAACAACAAAGGACCAACGTCATATATCAACTTTTATTTTACCAAATTTACCCTGATACTGCTCTGGAACCATTATGAAAAGCATTACCTGCTTTACATGTTTAATTAGCGTCCCATCAGTAAAACTAACTAATTTCAATAATTTATTAATTTAACAGTAACAAACTACATATGTATAACACGTATATTAATTATTAATTATGTTAAACAAATATTAGAAATATTCCCCAACACCAAAGTGCTTAAAGTACTAACGACGTTGGCATCTGCAGAAGCAAGATCGTTGGCGAAAAGTACTTTTAGCACTTTGTATTTTGTTTTTGTGTTGGGGAATATTTATAATATAGTCCATATTTAGGCCCTTTTGACATAACTAATAAAAACATCTCCATTGCTAAGCCTCCTCACTATGACATTCTTGCTATTCGGCGTAACCTTCGCTGCATTTCTTATGTTGGAATCAAAAATGATTCTGTTAACGTTGGGCTTCTTAATCAAGTTATCCTTATCCAGAGGGAAATTTCGAGCGCTGTCGTCGTAGTCCTCGTCCGTTTGATCCTCCGAATCTACGTTGCTCGCTGGCAATCCTCCTCCTTCTTCTGGCGACACGACAGCCACTCCTGATGCCCCTAATCGCATGCAGTCAAACGACCACTCCACAAGGGTAAAATCATCCCAATTCGCTTCGGCGTCAATGCACAAATGGACGTTTCTGCTGGCGAAGTAAATGTTCGAAAATTGAACGCAAAACCTTATAAACTGCAGTCTTGGAACCCTTATGCACATCGGCGGCGGATTTTTTCCTGCAACAAATGTTTTGTTAATGTTGCAACTCAAAGCATACTCAGAATCGCTGCTATTTAAAGGTGCCATCTCCTGTTAAAACTACCAGTGCTCCAATGGGTGATGTTGAACAATGAAATAAAACAAACATTGAAACCACCACGATGCAAATGGATGCTGAAAAACTGAGCCATCTTTCATCTTGAAGGAAGGTGAATCGGATGAAAGTGAGGAAGATGCGATCTGGTTTCTGACGTGGTTGAGGATGTAATAAACGATAACGATGATTCATCGGCAAGCGACGAGTCAACGGAAAAATCCTCCACTAAAGTAATGGATGAAACTACCAACTCAACAAAAGTAACTGATAAAAAGGAATCTAAAGATGTTGTTGATGATTTAGTCGATGGTGTTATTAATACGTTTACTTTGAATGAGGAGGAATCAGGTGAATCAAACCAAGGCTGAACCTGAGAAACTAGAAGAAGAAGATGACGATGAAGATGATGACGGTGACGATTTGTTGGGGGATGATGATGAGTAATCTAAAGATGTTGTTGATGATACGTTAGAACGAAAAAGAACAGAGGAATCAAACAAGATCAGGCGGATATAGATAAATATGAGGTCGGGATGATAATGATGATGATAATGGCGAAGTAGTAATGTTTTTATTATTTTTTTACATTTTAAATTCCAGAACATGGTTGAACATATTAAAATGTGTTTTTATCATGGTGGACAAATGGATTTTTTTTAAATTGCGATAATTAAAAATTAAATATTTTAATGACCAATAACTATCCGAATCAATATTATATTGATGGCCGGCTAATAATAAAGGCTATTATTAATTTCAATTAGCAGAATTTGAATAATACTGCTTAATTAAATATTTGTTATTTGATTAATTTTTCGCAAAACGTAACGGGCTTGTTTGTTAATTAAATTAATTTTTTTGTAACTGGAAACTATTCCCCTATAATTGGCGGGATTAAATTGGTAATTAAGAAGTTTCAAGGTCGTGTCGTTAAACTTGATTTTGTTCCATTAATCTGGATTCAAGTTCGCGCTTACAGCTTAACAATTAATCATAAAAAAATATGTATTTATTAGTTTGTGTATTGAACCGTTAAAATAATACATCAATAATAAAACGGTTCGCTTTAAAAATGAGTTATAACCGATATTTGGAGCGAATTCAATAACTGGCCAAAAAAACTCTAGGTATAAAAACGGGTTTCAACTGGACAATAGTGTACCAAATAAAAATAAAATATTTGATACAATTCAAAGGAAAATTAAAAATCGATACACTCCTGCTTTTAAAGAAGAGTAAATTGCTCGACGGAAAAAAACTACGTTTACACTCTAACAATGAAACAATATCCAATAATTAAAAGGTTGCGGCTCGACAAATCAAAGCGAGAAAAAGTATAGTTAAATAAAAGTCGCATTCTCAAAATTTATAGCGCCGAGATTACGGGCCTTAATGTTACTTATACATTCGGAATGGGCTCTAAGAGAAGTATTTAAATGTCTCGAAACGAAATCTATTTAAACTTTTAGACTCTGATATAATAATTAATTGATCGCGCCCTTGTTACTATTTTCGTATGAATTTCAACAGGAAGCAACAAATTATCTTTGACGTCGCTTTTTTGTTTTGTTAATATGCTCTAAGGCTAATCGATTCATTTCAATAACATTGATGGACAGAAATTTCTACTTTAAATCGAAATAATAAGTAAGGTATTTATTTGTTTGCAAAAAAAGCAAGTATTGATCTCAATCTAAATTCCAAAAATCACCTTTGTGCCTTTCAGACTAGAAAATCCGCTTAACTAAAATTAATTAAAATTCCTACAACAAAAATGTCCACCGTTTTCTTGTACGACAAGCACAAACATAATTTTGCTTAGATAAACTAATAAATATAGATTTTCTTGACCTTACGATCCCTTAGGTTTAATGAAATTCCGTCTCTGCAAGAAATTAACAACTTATCCAAGATAAATACTACGGGACCCGCCTAAAACTTATTTGTGTAATCAGAAAACAAAATATCTATTAATATTTATTGCCTGATTACATGTTTCACCTTCAAGGGAAATAATTACCCTTCCAAATATTATTCCTGAGAGTCTATTAAATAATTCCCCATTAATCCTTTTAAGTCAAACTTAAGAATTCTTTAGCCAGGTGTAAGTCCAAACATAAAAAGTATTAAATAGTTTCTCAACGCCAATATATATTTGAAAAGTTTGTTTTGATTTTGTAAAATATATTTAACTGAAAGCATAAAAAATTTTGGGTGAAGAATCCCCATTAAACATTCTCTTCACTTTCACTGTGAAAAACTGTTTCTATATCAATTTTAACGGTTGTTGGTCCATTTTCAAGGGATAAATTTGGATTTACATACAAATTTGACATCTTGACTGGCGCAGATTCCCCAAGCTAGAAATTGCATGCGTTACTCTATTTTTTATATATTTTATATAATAAAATTAATTGATAAACTTGATATATAATATATTATAAGGGTTATATAATTTAAGTTTTTTCTTGAATTTCCATATGTTTAATATCGGCCTTAATGTCTTGAAGTGAAAAACGTTTCGTATAACGTTCACGTATGAGCTTAAATGAAAATCTGCGAAAAAAGTCGTTTTGGCAAACTATTTGAAAAACAAATATGCGCGTGTGTGCTTTCCAATTCATCTGACTCATTTTAAGGGTAGACGTATAAAAAGCGGTCTAATGAAATGTTTTATGTATTGTTCCAGCTATTACCTGATACGCTGTTTTTGTAAAGGACCTTGCCGTTCATGGACATGGCAGCTGTGATGGCGAAGTCGTCAGGTTCGTATGTAAGATTTAGGCATGCCTTTTGTTTGAAACGGTCCAGGATGTAGCCTGTGCAGCATCCGCACTGTCCGCCCTCGCAGGAACACGGCAACTTTAGTCCTTGCAGCAAAGGGCGGCGGGTGGTGGTGGGTTGTGCTGTTTGTGCTACCACTACTGGTTTAACTGTTGTTGCTGATGCTACTGCTGCTGCTGTTGAATTTTTTGTGATTGTTGCTGTAATAGTTGCTGAAGAAAATAAAACTTTTGTGTAGCAATGAATGTTCAATAAAACGTAACGAGTCAATATAAAAAAATCTAAAGAGAATAATTGAATACATTGAAATTGGTGACACATTTAATTCTCACTCCTAGGTGGAAATGTCGGTGATTTTCTTTGCGAAAACCTAATAAGATATTTCAAGGGATTTTCCTGCAGTTCTAAAAGTTTTTATGACCCTCCCATTTTCGACATACTCAATAAACTTTCTCCCGGCAGCATTAAAAATTGAATACATAAATAAAAGCCCATTACCATTTTCCGCAGCGATAGAACCATTTGAATCGCATATTAAAATTAGCACAGCACTAAAATAATTTAAAAATTTCATTCTGAAAATTTCTCTTTGCACTTGTCACTTGTTGTATTGACGACTGGCTAGCAAACACAGCCGCTATAAAAATAACCGTCTGTGTAACACTTTCCATAGTCTTAATATACTTTCTTTACGGACCATACGGGCATCATGGATGCGAAATTATTGTTAAAACTCAATATTATTAAGATAAATTCCCACATAGAAACGAGCGTGTGAAAGTTTTCTATTATTTAAAAGCCAATTCTATAAGGGCGGATAATCTATATAGCCAGCAATCAAGCTGTAACAAATCAAAACTGGTTGAATAATATCTGAAGCAACTGAAAAGAGGCAAATTTAGGAATTCAAAAGCATATTTAGAATGTTAGAATAAATAATAAAAACATTTAAGCCATCATCATCCCGACCTCATATTCATCTTCATCCTTCTGATCTTGTTTGATTCCTCTGATTCTTTTCATTCTTATTTATTCTAAGGTATCATCAACAACATCTTTAGTAAGTGTTATCAGTTACTTTTGCTGAATTCGTACCCATTACTTTGGAAGCAAGGCTTAAAATCCTCACACTGAAACAACATTGAACACCTATTGGATTGGCAATATTGTAGGGACAATAACCTTCTGCTCTTAAACGGAAAAAAACCTGAAACAGCTAGTTGGAATCACTACTCTAAAGAAGAAAACTTAAGGTCGAAATGCCATAGGGCCCAACCATCAACAAAATCCAAAGCGCATCTAAAGAAGATGGGTAAGACTTATGATGATGATGATTCCTGCAGATTCTGTGAAAATGACAAGAAATCTGTTCATCATATTTTGTGGTAACATAACAAATAACCCAAGGTACAAAAGATCTTAAGGTCAATGTGCCATAGAGCTCTACGTTGGCCCCACCCTACTGTTAAATAAATAAAAAGCAATTTCATTAATTTATTGATTTATTTCTTCTCTTCGAGTCGAGTCATGACCTTGACATTGTTCGGGACCCAGACCCAACTTACCTACACACCTAAGTAAATGAACTTGCTTTCACTAAATACTTCCGTGGCTTACTAAAAGAGAAATTTCTTTTTTTATGACTTAAAAAAACAAACCAACAAATATATTTGAAAATTATTTTACCTAATACTGAGTATTACAAAAAATGAGCAAATTTCTTTACATACAAATTTATGTACAAGATTAAAATAAATATTAATAAATAACAATAAATAAATAAATAGTCAAAAGCGCGGCCATAATAATACCAATTAAATTTTCTTCTAGTTCTTTGGGAAATCCATATTATTCTGTCCACGATTTTCTTTTAAAACCAAAATAGTCTATTTACTCTAATCTTTCTACCAATGTAACCTGTCCAACCTCATAACTTTGCTTTGTCTTCCACGAAATCTAGCTGCGCTAACTGGTTTATCGGATTTTTTAAGTTTCCTGCTTTCTTCGTCGTCATCGTCATCATCGTCATTGTCATCATCATCATCCCCCAACAAATCGTCATCGTCATCGTCTTCATCGTCATCATCTTCTTCTTGTTTCTCAGGTTCAGCCTTGTTTGATTCACCTGATTCCTCCTCATTCAAAGTAAACGTATTAATAACACCATCGACTATATCATCAACAACATCTTTAGATTCCTTTTTATCAGTTACTTTTGTTGAGTTGGTAGTTTCATCCATTACTTTATTGGAGGATTTTTCCGTTGACTCGGCGCTTTCCGATGAATCATCGTCATCGTTTAAAACATCCTCAACCACGTCAGAAACCGGATCGCTATCTTCCTCACTTTCATCCGATTCACCTTCCTTCAAGATGAAAGATGGCTCAGTTTTTTCACCATCCATTTGCATCGTGGTGGTTTCAATGTTTGTCGTGGTTGTTTCTTGTTTTATTTCCTGCGTGGTGGCTTTGTTCAACATCATAGTTTGTTCGGTTTGAACTGTTTCCATCATGGACGATGCAGATGTATCCATTGGAGCGCTGGTAATTTTAACAGGAGATGGTAACATCGGCTTTTCTTGTGGCTCCATTTTTTCCTTGACCATCGGGATGTCCAACATTGCAGCTACAGCTCCGATAGATTCGTGCTGTGGACTTGGAATATCAGCGGTGCTAATCGTGTTAAGGGAAACATCGGGCATTTTGTCCATCGGAGTTTCCGTTATCGTTATTGGAGCTTGTGTTGTTGTAGTGGTGGTGGTAGTGGTTGTTGTTGTGGTTGTAGTGGGTTTTCTGGTGGTAACTTTAGCTCTAACTGGCTTAGGTTTTGGTTTGGAAACGGGTTTCCTTATGGCGGGTTTTTTGGCTGCTGCTTGAGGGGCCTGCGTTAGTGGCACGACTTTTCTTCTTAACGGTACTTTGGTGGTCGATGCAACCGGTTTTTTCGTTGGTTTTGGTGTTTCAACCTCGACTTCTTCGACTTCGTCGAAAGTTTCACTCTCACCTTCACCATCACCATCTTCATCGAAGTATCCGCCAATAAAATCGTCATCTAGCACGCTGAACGCAGTGTAATCGGCGGCGTCAACGTCATTTTCCGCGTCATCGTCATCGTCGTCATCATCTTCGTCGTCATCAAAATCGAAGTCGTCGTCGTCATCATCGTCGTCATCGTCGTCTTCATCCTCGGCTTCTTCTAGAACCGGTAAAGGTTGGCTGGGTTCGACACGTAGACCTTGGGGTCCGAATCGGAAACAGGAGACTCTGAGGGCAGCTTCGACATCTTGCAGGGCCCTTAGCTCCAAGCCGAGGCAGGCATTAAAGTCTTCGCCCTCGCGGCGTATGTTGTAGACTCTGCCGCAGAACTTGGAAACACCGCCAGGCAGCGGCATGCAAACAGGATCCGGCCTCTTACCTACAAAAGGGTAAGCGGGCTGTTACAACATATAATCATTTATTGTCCTAATTACAATTGTAATATACGTTTTCCGGTGCAGTCATAAATTATAGCTTAATATTACACAGTTGACGTACTAACATAGACAAATAGATTGATGCCGGGGCGTGTCGAGATATTGCAATGTTTACTATTAATTATATTACTGTAAATTTAGCAGATGCGAGATGAAACATTTAGGTACGCAAACTATATAAAGTAAATAATGTCAACCACACAAGATATTTTATTTAACCGTTTGTGCAAGGGTAAAACAAAACAGAAATCCTTTAATATCTGCATCAAACAACAAGATGAATTTCGGATAATTTTCCCATGCTTTAAGTAGAATTCAATTTGGCATTTACAGTGGAAAAAGTTTTAGACGTGAAACCTAAGATTGTGTATGTAATTCGAGTATATGGCCGGATTCGCTGCTACACTACGGAATAAACAGGACTTTTACATTTGTATAAAAGTAAATAACTAGGCGCAAAACACGATAAGCCTGAATTATACGAGGGTGTTGTCGACTTACTTGAGATTGTTGTATTGGTTAGAACCCTTTCGCCAAAGCTCATAGATATAGAAAGACGGTCTCCTTTCAAATACTGTAAGGACGCGCATCCCGGCCCTTGAAGAGACACCACGGGTATGTTAAACTCCCGGCAGCAGTTACACAATTTAGTGGAGCAGCTGCAGTATTTGTTCGTGTTTGTCGATGTGCCGGCGTCTTGTCTCTTCTTCTGGCTTATCCTACTCGCCTGCTTTTTTACTACTTGCTTACGGGAACCTCTTCTTACATTATGAGAGTCTAAAAAAAATACACAAACAATTTATTTTGAAAGTACTGTCTTACTTTTTCCATTAAAGACACATTGACAAGCTGACGTTTATATGACGTTGAAATGACGTTGCATTTAAACGTCAGAAGACGTCATATAAACGTCAGCAAACGTCAGTGTGCTACCTGGGAAGTTAGCAACAGGTTTTTAGTCACGGGCTGAAGTTAGTTGACAGTTGTCAAATGCCATAAAATCGTTAAATTAAAGTGCCTTTCTTGTAAAATATTACTACATGTAAAAATTATTTTATTATTTTAATACAAAAATACAAAAGTATTAAATAGTTTCTTAACGCCAATATTTGAAAACGTTTGTACTGAACCTTTTGATTTCAGTGCAGTTAACTAGATTTAACTAATAAAGCGTTAAAAAGTGCCCATTAAATAGTTTCTTCTCTTTTACTGTGAAAAACTGCTTCTATATCGATTGTTATTTTCAAGGTATAAATTTTGATTTACACAGAAAAATTTGAGATCAATAATTATTATAATCGTTAATTTAATTAAAATAATAACGGGCAATGTTAATGGTGAAAATTACGTTAAAAATGTTTATTTTGATGGTTACTTTATTTTCGTATAGATGTCGCTTTATACAATTATTTAATTTAAATCATTTTTTGAATAAGTAATATTAAAAATTTGACATTTGAGATTCGCAAATTGGTTAATCTATTGTTTTATGCATGTCGCTCTACACAAATATTTAATTTAAATCATTTTTAGATAATAATAAGTATTTTTCGTAGAAAAAGTATAGTTTATAAACTCATTTAATTAAGCACTCGCTCGTGGAAATGAAACTGGGACAGTCGTAGTGTTGATTAAAATTAAATAAAACCTTGTTGCTCAATGTTATGAATATATTTTTCACTTTGCACTGAATTATCTCATAAACAATCTTTAAAAAGTATGCATGCATATTTTAAAATACATAAAAATGCGGCAAAACTGAAATAAAGGAACTTTTCAATTTTATTTTTCGTTGTAAAACTTTATTGGCAGTAAATGTAGTTATTTAAATTAATTTAACAACTTGCACTACATGATGTTTATGTTTATTTAATGCGATTGTGTGAAAACTGTTGCTTACCTATAACGGCAGATGCTGCAAAAGCGATTAGCACGAAGATCAAGAGGAGCTCAAATATGAATGAAAGTTTCATATTGCTCCGATACGACCTGAAACAAACAAAAAAAAAACAAAAAAACATTATTTTACGCACGAATCGACATAAATCATAAGGACTCGTCCAACTTTTTTTAATTAGTCCAGTAAATCAAGACGTCATATGCATTTATTGCCCGGTATTAGATCAGTTTAGCAGGAATTTTCATTTGTTCGTCTCTATGGCACTACAGGATTGATTAATTTTTTCGAGCACCAATTCCGTTCAACACATCCATAATATTTCAATGTGGAGTTTAATAAGAGGGTCTTTAACAAAAACCGAATTGGCGATTTTACGGAAACAAAAGCTGGGCGCTTATTTTTGTTTAAATTTTTATTAAATCATTATTTTTTTATTTATGACAACAATCAACTCTATTAACTGAACATAAACAGTAGTACACTGTTTAACAGTTAAATGTTACAGTTGAGAAACAACAAACAACACATATTTAAATTCTATGAAGCATTAATTCTTGCAAATACATATTATATTTGTTAATTCCAAACACGTCAGTAACAAAAACACAATTTGAAATATTTACAGTTTTGTGAAATATTAACTTTATTTAATTTCCAATTTTGGTTAAAATGTTTAATAGCGCCATGAAATGTATTAAATGCATTTATTTGCTGGGTCGAATATTTATTTAGTTAAAAAGGTTTATTTAAATTTTTAATAACTATGTTTGCACACAAAACTTCATAAATATAAATATCTTACTTTTAGTGACGAGCTGTTTTTTATTAACTAGGCAACGCACAATTTTTTTAACTGTACTACACCGTTGAAATAAATTTAATGCAGATTTTTTACTAATTGAAATTCTAGCACGTACTTCCTCTTTTTTAATTAACATAAAATTCTTTGTGCTAATTTTGATTACACTTTCCAATTATAAACATGTTTGAATGGGTTGCTATTTTTTTCAAAAAAAATTTAATCCACAAATACAATTTTTATTCCCAAAAACAATTGTTACAAAATAGACGAACTAATTTTCCAGAGGTTTTATTTTATTTTTTATTCAGCAAAATTTAGCGGTCACTGGGCAATATTTCCGAAAATTTCGCGAACAAAAATCAAAATAAAAATAAATAAATAAATCACTTACCTTTCTTGAAAAAAAAATAATCCAAGATTATCTTCACTGATATATACTAGTGAACTTGTCGAAAGTCTTCATAAGTCTGTTGGAATTGTATCTTTGGGTTCTTCATTGGTTCTTTCTTGATGAGGAGGGGAGCGAAAAGTCGGTCACCCAAGTTGGGTCAGCGATGTCATCCGGTACATCTGTAGAAAGCATTTTTCCTTACACTCATTTTCAATGCTTGAGTTTTAACCTTTACTTTGATTTTTCCATAACGCTGACAGTTGTACTTTTAATTTTTAATCCATTAGAATTTTTTGTGCACCAAGGTCAATGCTTGATTTTCAAGGTCAACGAACCCTGTCAAAATTGACTACAAAAACCCTTTGCTTTTATGGTTAGGTATTTTAAATAAACATAAAATGACGAAAAGCATAAAATAAAGTTAAAATGATTGAAAAATCCTGTTATAAACTAAGATCATATATTCTTATTAAAGATAGACGCTGTTAAAAGTAGTGCTTAGTTAAGTATTCGTTCTTGAAAAGTTAGGGTAAATATATCAAGGGATTATCCTTAATAAGGATTATCCAACATTCTCCTTATATGTAAAACTTGAAATAAACGCAAATACCGTAGAAAAAGTTTATAAAGTTGGCATAATGATTTCATGTAACTAAGTTGAGACACTTATACAGGGCTTTCCATTAAAAACTAGCCACCCTTAATAACTTTTTAGTTATAGTAAATATACAGCTTCATATACCCTTACTAAATATTATAAATGTTCAAATTATTCTTCGTATGAGTTCTTGAATTTTCTCAGGTGGTGTTTAAATGACCAAAAAAAATCAAGTGGTGTTAAATCTGCAGATCTTGCCGGCCATTCTTGAACAACCAATCCATTTCTCGGGCAAGCTTTGGTTTAACCATTCTCTAACTGGTAAATCAAAGTGAGAGAAGGTTCAGAGGATAAAAGTGGGTCCAATTATTATTATATTATTAAGGGTGGCTAATTTTTTATTGAAAGCCCTGTATATGAGAGAAGTTAAAATATTTTTTTTTAATGTTTATTATTAAGCGTTGTGGTAAATAATGAAAATTAGAAAGTAATTATTATAGTAGGTATATGATGAGATGGATGGGAAGGTATAATGAAATGGTTGGTGGTTCTGGTAGATAATCTTCTGGTTGGGATCTGGGTGACCCAGTGACCCGATTCGGGTCCATCTACCGATGTCGACTACGAATTTCTTCGTGTCTGGCATACTGAAGACCGACTAACTGGTCTGGCGAAGAAGAGTCCTCCATACCAAATTGTATCGACCATGCATTGCGGTCTGTGCTTTACAGTACTGGTGCTGATACTAGTTTCAGGCTTTTCACCGGTTTACACGGCGAATATATTAGGTGAGTTATTTCTATATATTATTTATTCTATGCTGTTGACACTTTGAATTTTAAATAAGTTATGGCTTTGCTGACCAATTTAAATAATTTTATTTAATTTTTTTAATTAACATAAAGAAATTCAAGAACCCAAAACCCCAATATGTGTTTTGAACCCACTACATTAAAGTCAATAAAATTATTGTGCATAATTTCCATAAATTTAAATGCTTCAAATTATTTACAACAACGTAACTAATTCTATTATATTAATTTTAACATTACCAACAACCTTATTTATTTATTAAAATGTTACCAATTTATTTGCAAATATATACATTTAGTTTCAAAAACTATTGTTGTCAACACTTACTTTATAGGCTAGTAATTAATTATTTGCCGCGTTTGGACCAATCATAAAATTCAATATCTGTCAAATCTATCTAACCTTACTTTTTTCTTTTAATAATTGTCCGTTTTGTGTACATATTCACGTGAAAGTTGCTTATCAGTAAACGAGAGATTCCATTTCACTGAAACCGGTTTTGATGATTTTTTTTGCAGATTTTCTTTGGGAAAACACCGAGGTCGAGCGGCGCGATGAAAGTGTTGACCAATCCTCGACGTCGCAAAAAAGTTGCGTATGCAATGGACCTCAATGTATGTGCTGTGTCGATTTCAACTTGACCTACATAGACCTTGGTGGACCAGGTGAGATATCTCGATGACCTTGACCTCAACATCTTTACGTTTCTTCCGTTTTAGGATGCGTGCAAATGAAGTATATATCGCAATCTGAAGGAATAGCTTTGAATGTTTCATATGGCGAAAGCCTTTTGCACAGCGAAACGGTTAAAGGCCCGAATCCTGAGCCCACATGCATGAATTTGCTCGTCAATTTGGCACAAGTTTGCGCGCGATTTTTAGATTTGCAACCAAAAGAAGACGGGCTGAGGGGTTGCCTAGTTTTAGAGCCCAAACTATTGGGCGACGTTACCGCCACCTTTGCCATTGGCTGCTTCACAATGGGACCAAAAGGAATGAAAATGGAACAAACCAACAACACTATAACTCCCCCAATAGAAAACGAAATCGCTACTAATACCACTCAGTAAGTTTTATGCATGTTTTAGTTTAAAGCCTTTAAATAGTTAATACGTTCAAACTTTCCTCATTTATATATTTTATGAGGTCATATTAAATATTACCATAATAAAAATTTATTTATGTATAAAACACAAATAAAAAGTTATGATTAAAGACAGGATTATAGGCAAAACGCCGCTAATTTTAAAATTTAATCTAAACGTTTTTAAATTATATAATTAATTTTATAAACCATCTAAGTAATTATTGTGCAAAATTATGTTTCTATTAATAAAACCAATAAAAACCAAGTTAATTTTTATTTAAAGGTATTTTAAAATTTTTTTGTGCTTAAATATCCGGCCTCGATTTATGATGCATACACCTATTATTGTCTCGATAAACATTTATACGCCCCAATAAAACATTTTCATTCGAAATGAATAATTTTATTTTAGATCCGAAACTGGTTTAAATGAGGAGGAATTAATAGCGACCGTTAATGAAACGGCTGAACAGGGCCTGGCTTTCTTCGGAAATCTATTAGGTCTAGCGTTTGGCAAACCAGATACTAACAATGCTGACACAGAGACAACAACAGCCAAAATCATCGAATCAACCAATACACCGACCCAATCAAGGAAAGTTAAGCAGCTATTTAAGCCCAATAATCTACTTTAAGCGCCAAACCATTTATTTATTATTTGTTTGTTATTTATTCAATACATGTTTAATTTACCGTGGAGCGTTTTAATTGAAATGCAAATTAAATAGCCCGTTATTTACAGGTTGGTAAGCAAATTCTGTGCAAGAATTTGTTAACTGGGTTGCATACGCGTTGGCCTATTATTTTCTAATAAACTCTGACCAAGATAATCAAAGAAATTTCTGAGGTGATAATAAACCATGTATACTTTTAAACCGTTTTAAAACAAAACAATAAATATGCAATATGGTTTATTATAAAATAATTTAAATTATTGTTTATATTAGCAAAATAAATTATAATTTGTAATTATTTTTTCTAAAAATAGCTTGATGGCACTGCTACTTTTTTTTATAAATGAGCATACCCATGCGTGTTGTAGCCTACAACTTGTAGGTATATTTAGTGATTCCAAAAATATCTTGCTTGTGGGGTTTCTGAGTGGCAATTAATGTTCAAACGTGCCGCCAGTTTGGGTTGGTCGTTTTAGATCGGTTATTCCTGGAACAGTTCGGTTCGTTTTGTACCATTTCGTTCTTGTTGAACGTTTGCGTCGATTTACTCGACGAATTTATCAAAATTAATGCATTTAAAGTAGAAAATTCGCAGTGTTGCATATGTACATGTAGTGGGACGGGAAATTAGTGCGATTCGGTGGTATCGTGCGGAAATAGTTGGGTAATTAAAAGCACTTTCTACGTTAAGTATGGAGGTTCATTTGGGGAGTTACCTGTCCCATACGGGTAAAAATAACAAAGTTTTGATATTTGTCATCTACTAGTCATTAGTCATAATAGGATATGAGAAAATTACGTGGTACAAAGAATAGGAAATTACAGTGGTAGTTTGGTACACACCCAACGAATTTCCATTTTGACGTAAATCAACGACAAAATGACGTCTGCCTTTAATATTAAGCCCCCATTTGGGTGGCTGCACTCAGATAAATTAATGGAAACGACAGGGGCCACATATGCAGTTAGGGTAAGTGCAAAAAAACCTCAACAAAAAACCATTATAGAAATGAATAAGGTCAAACCTACGTCATACGTGTTTCATGGGCGTACTTATTGCTATTAAAAAGGGTAATAATACCGTATTAACTCGACACGGCTTTATTAGCTCTCGTTTACGAAATAATTATACTTTTATAAACACAAACAACATCAATTAATCCACTGTTTACTGCTTCTAAAAATAAAATAATACCAAATGTCAGGTTGACGTTTGCCATAGAACTTAACTTATATATGTCAAGTTGACATTTGTCATGTAACCCTACTTATAAATGTCCACAATTGTGTGGATTGTGATAAATGTCAAGCTGACATTTCTTTTGTTTTTTTTCAGTATGTTGGCTGTCTGGAAGTAAAGGCCTCAATGAAGACACTGGACTTCAAAACCAGATCTTCTGTGGCAAAGTAAGTTATTTATTACTTTTTATCTTACTTATATTTCTCTTGATCTTTAAAAAATATTATTTGCACATTCATACTATATTAGTATATTGTTGTTTGTATCATCGTATATTATGTAATAAGTTTTGTGAACGCCATTGCGAGTTTTTAATAAAAACGAGTTGCATTCTCAATAATATTTTTCAGAATTTGTTAAACATTTGACATCTTACATCTGGCAACCTCACTTTTTCCCAATTTATAATAAAGCTAACATAAGGTTATGGATATTTTTTTTACAGAATAGAACTAAAATGCTTCAGAAATCGATTGAGACTGTAACATCTTTTTTCTTTCCAGGGAGTGCATAAACAAAGTCTGCGAAACTGCCGGTTTAAAATCGATCGATAAAAAACGTAAAGTAAGAGTAAAAGTATTGAAATCCATTTCGGACACCCCTGATATGACGTATGCTGGTATGAATGTTAGTCTTCGAGTATCCAGCTTAAATTTGACTTTAACATCACTTGAAACCAACCAGGTGATTGCAGACCATGAAATGCCCAGGATTTCGTTTGCATCTGGAGGAGATACGGTTAGTAATAATTAAAATATTTTTTGCAGCCTTTATTATTGTGATATTTTTATTTTAGGATACTTTGGATTTTGTGGGGTACATAGCCAAAGGTGATAACGATTTAAGGGCTTGTTATGTCCTTGAATGTGGCGGTGGTTTAGCCAAGGATGTCATATCAACCATAGGACAAGCTTTCGAACTGAGATTTCAACAAGTTAATAACAACAAATCCAATATGATGTAAGTTGTATTTATTATTTTATTGATAACTACTGCGAAAAAACTTTTGCCTTTATAGGTATTATTACTAAGGATGGTGTAGAATATTTTTTGGCACACCATTTTATCACTAGAGGTTGAATTTTAGTGTTGTTACCTATTTGTCTATGCTAATCATAACTTAAGGTGCAATGGAATACAATCTGTAAAAATTATTTCATTTTACTACCAAAAACATGCTTTTTTGTAATATTGGGGTTGTTTTATTTAGACGACATAATTCTTGCACTATGTAGTTATTTTTGTTCTACAGGATTGGTAATGTGTGTTGGTCACTGGAAATCGCGAACAGCGACGCGAATGTGACATTACTGTGCAATGTTGCCAAATTTTTCCAATCTATCTTATGTTATCATATTTTATTTAAAAATCTCATGCATTTTTACTAATTCTCAAATTTGTGCTTTTATATAAGAAAGTATTTTTTTTTTACCCCACTATAAAAGTTTCTCAGATTGTTTTTTAAATGTTTTGTTCTTTAGTGTACTTTTTAAGAAAAAATAGAAATTCTATGAATTTTTCAGTTTCCCATTTTTTATTTTTGATTATTTCTGTGCATAATGCTGATTAATCCAGAGTGGGCCGACTTCTTTTATTGATTTTTTTTTCAATCGTTTATGTTCTTACAAAAACTTTTTTTTAATTAATTTAAGTAAATGGTTGTATGATATTTTACACTTCAATCATAATCTAAACTAATAATGAAATAAACGTACTTAAATTGAATTTAGTAAAGGGGTCGAATTGGCGTGAAACGATTTTTCAAATCATAAAAATCTTGTTCAATATAAATTTAATAATTTAATCTTACTTATTTTCCTAAAGTACGAAAGTATACTTATTTCAAGAATTTTCTTGTCTAAAACAAGACAAAAATAAGGTAATTTATGAATTTTGCAACCTTAAATCTCACATAAGGGTTGACTTAATTTTAATATTATCGTGTGTTTCATGACCAAATTTAATATTTAAATATGATTTTCGTTACTTTTCAGTAAGCATGCTGCTGTTTCGATGGGTCACGCTACCACGTCGTCTGGAGGCGACGCCGATAAGGACTATTACAACGATTTGCCGGGCAAAGTGCCCCCGGACGTGGGTCCTCCACCTGTGCCCCCTCTACCGACGTTGGTGCCTCCATTTACAACTCTACCTCCCGTACAAACTCCAAACTTGATCGATCTGAGCTCGGAGTTTACTGCGCATGATCCGCATCACGATTATGTCAACGACACCGTGTTGCCGACGCGGGACGTTTTCGACATGCGTAAGAAACATAAAAAAAATTGTAGGATGTTTGTTAATTTCGTCTTAATTACAGAACCTTTCACTCAACACAACACATTGACGAGAAACTACGGCAGAGGCGCGGAAAACGATCATCTGTCGCAGCTTCAAAACGAAATATGGTTTCACGGTGCAATAAGCAGAGCCGAAGCGGAACGGCTGCTGCAGAAAGACGGCGACTTTTTGGTCAGGGAGTCCACCAACACCACGGGACAATTCGTCCTCTCCGGCATGCAAGACAACAACAAGAAACACTTGCTCCTCATTGATCCCGAAGGAATTGTAAGTGAAATACTTACAGCTTATTTTGTATTCACATTTTGAAAAAATGGTTTTTGTCCTTACAAGATTCAATTACAACAGGAACTTACTATGATCCATGCTTTTTTGTCACTCCCCAAGCAAAGTATTGATGTACATATCGAGAAACAAATGCCCTTTAAGTTTCTAACCTTACTCCTTCCTAAGTACTTGATTTTAAAAAATTTCCATTGAAAACACATAATAAATTAAGGATTTTTTTAAATTTACTACATCTTGGCTGCATTATACGTTACTTTAATACATAGGTGCAATTTTTTCATGATTGGATGCTCTTTTAAAGTAATTGCAACATTTTTATACAATTTATATATTTAGACCTGTATACGTCACTGAAGTCATATTTTTAATAAAAAACAGTATTTTTGCATTTTACGGCAAAACGGTTAAGTTACAGGTAAAAAGTTAACAAAATCATTATAGGAATTTAATAAATATACACTTTATGAAACGAACACGAAACATAATTTTAAGCCTATTTTATTTGTTAACAATTTAACATATGTCAACTGTCACCCAAATTTAACCTCACTTTTTTCCTAATTTATAATAAAGCTAACTTCAGCCCGTGACTAAAAGCTTAAAAGCCACTCGTCAATGTAGGAGTAGATAATAGTATATTATGTAAGTTTGATAAACTAAATTTTAGTTTAGGCTTAACTAAATGAGTTGGTTTATAAACCAGTTTCATACTATACTTTTTATATGACAAATACTTAATTTTATCTAAAAAATTATTTAAATTAAATATTTATATAAAGCGACATCTATACGAAAATTAAGTAACCATCCCAATAAACATTTTTGACGTAATTTTCACCATTAACATTGCCTGTTATTATTTTAATTAAACTTAACAATTATTGATACTTTAATATATTAAAATAACTTCAAAATATAATTATGTTAATAAAATATTTTATCCTTTGATTTTTTTATTGCTATAATTGCAAAATATTATCACAAAGTATTAAACATTCTTACATGGAAAATGTTAAAGGTACAAAAAGTGACAGTTGTTTTTATTGGAATTCCTATTAGAATTTCTAACTTGGAGAATCTACCGGCGTTAAAATGTCATATTTTTCTATGTAAATCAAAATTTATCCCTTGAAAATAGACTAACAATCGATATAGAAGCAGTTTTTCACAGTAAAAGGAAAAAGATTTTTTTATGGGCACTGTTACAGTAAGCTAAACTACTATTTAATACTTTTGTATTTTTGTATTGAGATAATAAAATAATTTTCACATTAAGTATTATTTTACAAGACTTTTTTAAAGATTGTATTACATTTGGCAACTGTCAACTTAAAACCAACTTCAGCCCGTGACTAAAAACCTGTTGCTAACTTAAAGCCACAACTTGTCATGTGTATTTAAAAGGTCACTTAGTGTCATGGAAACATGTACGATAATGGGCGTTTTAAATGTGGGAGTAGAAAAAAGATATAAGGCATTTAATAAATTTTACTGTCAAATATTGATAAACCATTTAGTATGTTGTTTCACGGCACAACGGTTAAAAGTACAGGTAAAAAGTAAAACATACTTTTTTGGAAATTTAATTTTATACAAAAATAGTTTTATGCACTAATGCAATATAATGTGTGTAGTTTAGAAGTATTTAACATTTTACCGTTAACTTAATTAGTTTTATTGATATTTGACAGTAAAATTAATTAAATGCTCTATATCTTTTAAACTATTTATTTTATTGGATTAATGCACAAAATATTTTTTATAAAAAATTAATTTTCAATAAAAATCTTTGTTATTTTTACCTGTAACTAACTGTTTTTTTTAAATTAAATAATAACCTTATATTACCCAAATGGCCGCATCTTAATGTCCAAGTCTTAATCTTCTTATTAATGTAATAGATTCTCTATTATCCCTTTTTTTGTTTGGTCGATTCTTGTAAAAAAAATCCAATTTACTCTTAAAGATCTGAAATTGCAACCTTAATGATCTTACTGGAAGGAATTTTAAAATTTGTTATATATGGGATTTCTTTATTTAAAAAGTCTACAAGGTCCGTTAAATTAGAGAAAAGTTGCTTAATTACAAACCTATTAAAATGAAATTTATAAATTGGAAGATAAAACCTTTTAAGGACAAAAATCGTATTAATCTACAGTTTCATCAAATTTCTTTGCTAGTATACTTTGAGTTACCTTCACCATATTATGTTTACATAATGGCCACCAGTGGCGGCCCGTCAGGGGAGGCAGGTGAGGCAGCGCCTCATCATAGAGAATTAAATAATTAAGTATAATTTAAATATTTTACTTTCTACAATATACTATAAATTTTTAATATTTGGATTACATGAATTGTGAAATAGTCAATAAAATTGATTGATTTTATACGTGGAATACCCAGCAACATTTAAATTATTTGAATTTGAAACGACCGCAATTTAAACTAATATTTATAGCTAGATGATTGGCTCAGAAGCATGCCTGAACTAATTTAGACTCACGATTGGCGTTAGCCTTGTTGTCTCTTTCTATTACAATGCGATATCATAGTTGTCTCCTTCTATCGTATTAGCATACGCGAGGCAGGCACGCCTACATCCAAGGAAATAAGCTGGTGTTGTGGCAACACTGTTGCGGAATTTTAGATAAATTATACTTCACACGTTTTTCAAAATTCAATAATAAATGGTATTATTTTTCTTATAATAAATCGATTTAAGCGAAATTATATTTCTATTCTAAAATAAACATATTTTAACACTATCGCCATCTTGTAGCCATCACAGTAACCAATAAAATAAATACAGATTCCTTATTTAGGGTTTGGTTATAAAATTCTGAACTGTTTAAAGAACAAATTTGTGGTTATTTACGCAATATTTTGTTTATTCTTTTTCTATGAGTTTGAATAAAAATTTAGATAAATGTGTATGTTTACAAGTGAAACTTTATTGCGAAATTCCCAGGAGGTTTCTTTCAAATTATCTGACAACCGCTGAATTGTTTAATTCCCTTTTTTATAAACTTCTAGAGCATGTATTTCTGTTTCCAGGAATGCACAGTACATTTTAACAATTCCTTAAAAAATTTATTACCTTTCCCATTCCATGTAATATTTGACATAAAGGATAAACAAATATTTAGAAATAACTGAAATATAGTGAACCCTTTTTAATTACATGTGAACTATTTTTTTTATTATTTTCAGGTTCGCACAAAGGATAGGATGTTCAACAGCGTGAATCATCTCATCTCGTACCACTACGAAAACGCTCTACCGATAATTTCGGCCGAAAGTGCTCTAGTGCTGAGAAATAAAGTTGTTAGATCTTCTTGAGAGCATGGTGAATATTAAAATAATTTTACTCATTTGTTGGCAAAACATTTTTTATCGCTTCCATAAAAGTTTTTTGTCAACCGAATTTTGATTTACGGACAAGTTTAGCGTCACAAAAAGTCATTAAAAAATTTAAAACCAAAGATATTTGTATAAAATTGATTTTTTTGTTTAACCCAAATGGTGCAGTATTTTATAAGATGTATTTAATTAGCTAAACTTGTTTACTGACTGAATTTGCTTGTAGTGCCTATTGTAAGTGCTTTTTACAATTTTTTGGCATGAATATCATAGTTTTTAAATATTTTTATAAACTTGTTATAGATAAACGAAAATTAAACTAATTTAGGACCATTATAGTCTAATATCTGTGAAGATGTTATATTTATTTAAAAAAATTAAAACATTTTAGTATTTAATAAACGTTAAGCTTATTTGAATTTTTCTATTTCAATAAATTCGAAATCTACCTAATAAAATTGCGATATAATTTTTTTTTTTTTGAAAATTGTATGCCTGCTTAAGTACAAAAATCGGTACATTACGTTTATTGGGGTGGAAAAATCTATTTGTCATTTTTTATGTTACAATGAATATAAATAAAATCTATTTACTGAAAAAAGTATTATATTGTAAAAAATATTGATTGCATGAATACAAACTATTTTTGGAAATACATATAAAGTTTATAAAATCATACTTAAATGACAGCACTTTTTGGTCAATAAAAGCGTCGAATATCTTAAAACCGGCATTAAAAATCATATTTTGCAAGGAAAAATATTTTTTGACTCACTTTCGAGGTTCTTTTCCATGTTTTCGTATTAAAAACACACGAACACTTAATGTTATTCCCCGAGGTAATTTTCTAGAATAATTTTTTGAAATTTCGTATTGTGGCGCGGAAACGGAAATCAAGTGTTTTGCGACTCTGATTGGATCAAAAACGACTTGAAGCAAATTATTATTCTCGTCTCCTGCATTGCTGTAGTTTTAAGGGAAAAGGAGCCTTATTACGAGTCTGTATAAAGTAGCGTGTAGTGTGGTGACGTCAGCCAATGTCACGTTACCGACTACCTCGTCCCGCGTGCCCGCCATTATCGGCCGCGCATTTTGCCTACGCTGTCGTGTAGAAAGAAAATCCAATATGGCCGCAATCAACAGACGTATTCGGTTAATGTGACAGTAATAACATTAACTTAACCCTATCTTTCGGCGTTTAGTGATAATATAACCTACAAAGTGAATTAAAAAGAGATTTTTTCGAAAAGAACTAATAAATTGTCGGGTTTTAATTGTAAAATTAACGTTTTAAAAGTTTGCAGTCCATTGAAGAACAAAATGGCGTCGGACCGTGCTGTTGTTTGAAAAGTGATTTTAAAAACTTAATTTATTTATTATATGATAAGTTTGTTGTAAACAAACCGTTATGGTAGTATTAAGGGATGATTACTTCGTAATTATAAAAAAAATTGTCAGTGTTTGTCTGTAAAATAACCAAGAAAATCCAGATTAAAGCTTAAAAAGATGCCTGAGGTAAGTTTCCTTCTTTATTATCTAGTTTAAGGGTTAATTCTTTGAATATACGGTTTTCGCTATTATTAAGAGTGTTATTTAACTTCCATCTCAATGTGATTTCAAGGGCGTGGCTGTAATATATGTCCCATATGAGAGACTTTTTCCCTTGAAAATATTTGTTTACAAGAACATTTTCAATAAAATAACCCCCTTACAGCCTGTGTTCCACTCATTTCTCGCTGTATTTACGATCTTTGGACTTTCCTTTACGTAATGAGCCCGAAAATTTCAATTTTTGAGATGTACCCTTTTTAGCAATTTTGAGCTAAAGTTTGCAAACCACATCGATGAAACCTTTTCATCATGTAAAAACCAACCCATTTCACGTTTAGAGGTGTGCTTTTGCCTTCCAAGTCGTGTATTTTACCAATTCTACCATTAAACCTCACCAAAGACACTTAACTTAATTTTAATATTTATTTCTGAACTTTTGGGGGTTGTTTCATATCGGCCACTTTCAAACAGACCGGTTCTTTATTTTAATCTACAATATTTGCCTTCTGAGGTATTCTAAGCCTATTAAACATGCTAAACTTTAGGAAAACCCCTGATTATTCTCCTTTTAAGGGGGTTTTAAATGTGGAATTAATAACCTTTTTTCAAAAAAAAATACAATGAAATGTCATCGAAGTGTATTTGTATTATGTAATTTTTTGTTAAAAACCTTTGATATGAAAAAATAAACTTAATTTTTGCATTATATATAATGTATTTGTTTTTTTTATTACTACATAACCTCAAATATCTTTATTTTTGTGTAAAAAAAATCCAAAAAAATTTGTAGCAATACTGTGGTTGATTTTGTAAATTAGTTTTGACTTTTTATTGGAATAAAATGTATATTTAATTATTTTTTTTTAATTTTTGGGTAGTTATTTTATTATAAACTTTTTTTTGTTGATGACTTTATTTAATTTTTATAAAAGGAATTAAATAAATCAATAAATAATTATTTAAAAATGTCCATTTATTACCCTTAATCATACCTTTTAATAGTAATTCTTGTATTAAATCTAAAAAATCTATTAATTAATTTTGTAAGGATTAGATACATAAATGATGGATAAAATAAAATAGGAAAAAGTTAAAATTGGTGTTTTTCGAATTTTATTACAGACTGGAGTATCAGACTCTGAAAATTCAGGATCAGGTTCTGATAGCAAGTCAGAAGATTCCTCTTCAGGATCAGAAAGGTATGTAAACATTTCTTTTAATATTAATGTTTTTTTATTTCTATACAGTTGTATAAAGAATTTGAATGGGAAAATTTTGTCGCTATAAATTAAAACATCATAAATTGCGTAAATTTCAAAACTATTTTTTATATTATAATTTAATAAGATCATTATTTTAAATTGCGTAATACTTATATAGTTTTTTTTATAATTAATATAAGATCATGATTAAATGATAAATCATTTACGTAAACAAACAAAATTAGGCATTTGCACAAATTCATTCATTTATAGCGGTTCATCTTCGTCATCGAGCGGTTCAGAAAGCGGAAACGAAAACAATTCCGATAACGAAAAATCTAGTAAAGATAATGTTCAGCCAGAATCGTTCAGTGTACCTGCAGCTTCAGCTACAGATTACCAACCTGAACATGATGAAACAAGCAACACCTCATCACCAGAACCAAAGAAAAAACGATCAACCTCACCCAGAGATGTACGTTTGCTATTTTAAGAAACTTGTTGTTTGGTTTATTTATTTTAATTGTTGTTTATTTAGTGGGAAGAAAATCCAGACATATACGGTATAAGGCGGTCTGGGAGGTCGCGCAGGGAACCCGAGAGGTTACAAGCAAAGGACGGGGAAGGTGTAAAAAGGCGGAGGTATATTATTTTTTCAAGGTTTTTTGATTATACCTCTTTATACTTAGATCAGTGTAAGTCGATTGTTTCTGTTAAAAGACATCTTGGTACCAGAGACATCTTTAGGGACATTTCAGTATTTGATGTTACAGAACTTTATAAAGTTTTACAGAAACTAAACTGGTAAAGGAAGATAGCAAATTCTAGGGATAATTTTAAATGGCGGTTCTTTCTTTTATACCAGCCTTACTCAATTTTTTTTTCTTGGGCCAAATACGTATGTTTTAAAATAAATGGCATTCTAATTGTTGACATTGTGGAAAACTTTTGACTATTTTAATTAGGCGATCTTCCATCTGGACCTTTCAAAAGATCGTTTACCCCTCTACTTAAAATAATGACATTCTCAAAAATCACTTTTTTGGACGCTAGGTCCCTTATCTTGGATCGTGTCCAATATTTCATTTTAGTGTTTCAAAGTTATCGGGTACCGATACCATTCTAGATATTATACTATACTTGCCGCTCCACAAGCAAAAAAATTGCCCTTATCTATCTCACAAGACTGTGTAAAAAAATTATTTTAAATAATGTGCGTATTTTTTTTATCTAAAAATTACTGTGGCCCGCGGTTTGATTATGGCTGTTCTATACAGTCGTTTGATGTCAAATCTTTCTTAAACTTCAAATGAACACGACATTCAAGAGCTCCACTAGATTTTGCTGTCTTCGTTTGTTATTATTTTGGCTTGTTTTCAAAGAGGCAGAATAAAAAATCGGTTTATTTCGGGCACTTGTATAATAAAACATTTGCAGCGATGAGTGGAAGTACAACGAGGGTAGTTCTTCTGAATCGGAGAACGAAGGTGGTGAAAAGCCGCCCCCTAGCAAGAGGATGGGTTCAAAAAGGGCGCCCGCGCGTAAACCGGCGCCGAAACGGAAGAGCCGTTACAGTTCGGAGGAGTCGAGCGGTTCGGACGATGAAAATAGACGACAGGCTACGCGAAGGGCCGCGGCCGCGGTCAGCTACAAGGAGGATTCCGAGGATAAAACGGATTCGGAGGATTTGCTCGAGGTGGACAATACGGAGCCGGTCGAGCCTGTTCCCGAGGAGAAGTGCGAGACCATCGAGAAAATTATCGCGATGCGTCGAGGGAAGAAGGGCGTTACCGGTAACACGACCACGTGCTATCACGTGGAGGAGAACGGAGATCCGAACGAGGGGTGCGACCCGAATGACCGGGAGAACACCGAAGATCAGTACCTGATTAAATGGAAAGACTGGGCTCATATACACAACACCTGGGAATCCGATCAATCGCTCAAAGAACAAAAAGTCAAGGGGCTCAAGAAACTTGAGAACTACATCAAGAAGGAAGTTGAAATAAGTCAGTGGAGACGGTATGCAACTCCTGAGGATGTCGAGTACTATGAGTGCCAGTTAGAGCTCTCGCAAGAGCTTCTCAAAAGTTTTAATAATGTTGAACGTATTATAGCCAAGTTCAATAAACCTGACGGAGGTACCGACTATTTTATAAAATGGGAAAGCTTGCCATATGCGGATTCGACCTGGGAGGATTCCGCCTTGATATTGAGGAAGTGGCCGGAGAAAATAAGCGAGTTCAATCAGCGGGAAAATTCGACTAAAACGCCCACGAAGCATTGCAAAGCGCTAAGGCATCGGCCCAAGTTCCACGAAGTTAAGGAGCAACCTCTATACATGACCGGAAAGGAAAATGTTAGTACAATTAATATCGCAGCAAATTTTATTATAACTGTCCGATTATTTTTAGACTTTGGTGCTAAGAGACTATCAAATGGATGGTTTAAATTGGATGATCCATTCCTGGTCAAAGGACAATTCTGTGATTTTAGCTGATGAGATGGGCTTGGGTAAAACAATACAAACAATATGCTTTTTAAATTACCTCTTCAATGAGCAAAATTTACATGGACCGTTTTTGTGCGTCATACCACTCTCAACTATGACCTCTTGGCAAAGGGAGTTCGCCCAATGGGCACCGGATGTCAACTTTGTTACATACTTGGGAGATGTACAATCTAGAGATACAGTAAGTTCATGAAAGACTATGATGGATTCTTTGACTGTTGTTTGTAATTTTTAGATTCGGCAATACGAGTGGAGTTACGAAGGATCAAAGCGGTTGAAATTCAATGCTATCCTGACGACGTACGAGATAGTCCTTAAGGATAAGGCTTTTCTGGGAGCCCTTAGCTGGGCTGTTATACTGGTTGACGAGGCTCATAGACTGAAAAATGACGATTCGTTGTTGTACAAAGCTCTGATGGAGTTCGACACCAACCACAGACTACTAATTACCGGAACCCCATTGCAGAATAGTCTTAAGGAGTTGTGGGCTTTACTTCATTTCATTATGCCAGAAAAGTATGCATTTAATAATTTCAATGAAGTTTAATAAGTAATAAAAATGATTTTTTATATTTTTAGGTTCACAACATGGGAGGAATTTGAGAAGGAGCACGAGTGTGCATCATCGAAAGGATACGGAAGGCTTCACAAGGTATTGGAACCGTTCATTTTGCGTAGGGTGAAGAAAGATGTGGAAAAATCGTTGCCAGCCAAAGTGGAGCAGATTCTTCGAGTGGAAATGACTTCGGTGCAAAAGCAATATTACAAATGGATTTTAACAAAAAATTACAACGCCTTAAGGAAAGGCGTGAAAGGATCGACGAACACGTTTTTAAATATCGTAATCGAGCTGAAAAAATGCTGCAACCACGCGCTTTTAACAAAACCGACTGAGTACGAAAATCAGACGTCGCAAATGGACCATTTGCAGACGTTGCTGCGAGGCTCCGGCAAGTTGGTGCTTCTCGATAAACTTTTGATTCGGTTGAAGGAAACCGGGCACCGTGTGCTTATATTCTCTCAGATGGTGAGGATGTTGGACATTTTAAGTGAGTACTTGCAGCTGCGGCATTTTCCCTTTCAACGTTTAGATGGCGGAATTAAAGGCGAACTGCGTAGGCAAGCGCTGGACCACTTCAACGCCGAAGGATCTCAGGACTTTTGTTTCTTATTGTCGACGCGTGCCGGCGGTTTGGGCATCAACTTGGCCACGGCCGACACCGTAATCATATTCGATTCCGATTGGAACCCGCAAAACGACTTGCAGGCGCAAGCGCGCGCCCACAGGATCGGCCAGAAGAACCAAGTGAACATCTACCGATTGGTGACGGCGAGGTCCGTCGAAGAGGAAATCGTCGAACGAGCCAAGCAAAAGATGGTGCTGGACCATCTTGTCATCCAGCGGATGGACACTACCGGCAGAACGGTTCTCGACAAGAAGGGCGCCTCCACGCAGAACCCGTTCAACAAGGAAGATCTCACGGCCATCCTAAAGTTCGGAGCTGAAGAGTTGTTTAAAGACGAGGACGTAGAAGAAGAACCCAACTGTGATATTGACGAAATTCTTCGGCGTGCCGAGACTAGAGATGAAGGTCCCGCGATGGCCGGCGACGAGCTGCTGTCCGCCTTCAAGGTCGCCAGTTTTGCCGCTTTCGACGAAGACGCCGAGCCGTCTCCGGCGACCACGGCGCAGCAGGACGACGAAAGCAAAGATTGGGACGATATTATACCCGAGAACATGAGGAAAAAGATCGAAGAGGACGAGAAGTCCAAAGAGATGGAAGATTTATACTTGCCTCCGAGGCTACGAAAGACATTGCAGCAGATCAATAATTCGGAAAGCGACGGCGAAGGGGGCGCAGGCGGGAAAGGGAAGAACCGACGTAAGAAAGAAGGCGACGAATCCGATAACTCAAATCCGGAAACCGGAGATGACACCGACGACGATCGGCCGAAAAAACGTGGCAGACCCCCGGTCGGTAATCGAGAGAAAATTAAAAACTTTACGGATGTGGAAATACGTAGGTTTGTAAAGAGTTACAAAAGGTTCAGCGCTCCGTTGAAACGTTTGGAAGCGGTGGCATGCGATGCGGAATTGCAGGAAAAGCCACTGGCGGAATTGAGGAAATTGGGAGAGATGCTGCACGAACGGTGCAAGGCGTTTATGAACGAACAAACTAAAGAAAATAACGACACTAACGGTGAAACTTCCGGCGGCAAAGGCCGCAAAAGACTGAGAGGACCGTCGTTTAAACTCGGAGGCGTGTCGGTAAACGCGAAGACCATGATGGCCTGCGAAGAAGAGCTGGCTCCTCTCGATGAGGTCCTTCCTTCCGACGCCCACGAAAGAAGTCGATGGATTTTGGAAAGTCGAACCAAACCGGCGCACTTCGACGTAGTTTGGGACGCAAACGAGGACTCGAAGCTTCTTCAAGGCATCTACATTTACGGTATGGGCTCCTGGGAACAAATTAAATTGGACCCGTCGCTAGGTATCGGTGAAAAAATTCTATTAAATGAAGACAAAAAACCACAAGCCAAACAATTACAATCACGTGCCGAGTACTTGCTGAAAATTCTCAGAAAAGGTCTGGACCAAAAGAAGGGTGTCTCCAAACCAAAACGGCAGCGGAAAGTTAAGGAAACCAAAGCCTTAACCAAAGAAATTATCGAACACGATGACATCAGTTCGAATGACGAATCTACCAGTCAAAGTGGTCAAGTCCCTTCGGCATCTAAAAAACAAAAACCATTGAAGAAAGACAAAGAACACCACCACCACCATGAACATCGGGATGAAAAAGAGCAGCAGGAGCATCGAGTCCTCCAGGAGAAGAAGGAAAAGAAAAAGGAGAAAAAAGAAAAGAAAAAGGCTGCCGGCCCCATGCATTTTACGGCTAATAACGAGCCCAGAGCATTAAACGTCCTGGGTGATTTGGACCCTGCCATTTTTAACGAATGCAAGGAGAAAATGAGACCGGTCAAGAAAGCCCTAAAAGCACTCGACAACCCTGATCAGTCTTTATCAGAAACCGACCAGGTGGCCCACACGAGACTCTGTCTCATACAAATTGGAGAGCAAATCAATACCTGCCTGGAAGCTTATAGCAACGATCCCGAAAGAGTGAAGGAATGGAGAAGGTATAAAATTAATAATATTCTATATGTATATCCTATAATGTGATTTTTTTCAGTAATTTATGGTATTTTGTTTCAAAGTTTACGGAGTATGATTCGAAGAAATTGTATAAGCTTTATAAGAAAGCTTGCAAGAAAAGTGAGAAGAAAGAGGTTTGTGTATTTTAGTTTTAAAAAAGCTGAAAATATTAACTACCATTTTATAGGAGTCGGCAGGTACCAGTAAAGAGAAGAGCAAAGAAAATAAGGAACATAAACGAAAACATGAAAGCGACGCAGAGAAGGAAGAGAAAAGCCATAAAAAACATCATTCAGAGAAGTAAGTAGTTTATTAGAGAATATATTAGGAATAATGTTTTTAATGATTTCAGGAAGGAAAAGAGAGATAAAGAAAAGGAGAAGGAGCGTAGGAAAGAGAGCAGCAGAGGAGATAAGGTAGAAGAGGGGGAATTTCAGTCTTACCGCAATCGTAAACCTTCGGGTTCGCAGAAAAATCCGGCGTTCAGAAACGAACAGCAGGCCCACGTGGACAAACAATGGTATGGAAGAAATTCCGACTACCAAAGACCCATGGGCGGCGGCTACCATAGGGATCGAGGGGGGGACTACAATCAAAGACCGGACAAGAGGTAATAATAATAAAAATAATTTTGCCGTATTCACAATGTATTATTTTGCAGATCGCCAGATGCAGCAAAAGGAGATTGGAGAAATTATCAGAGGGGAGCCAGAGATGGTGCGGCGCAGCAGATGGGGGGACGACCCCAAATGTACTACGCCGGGAATTACAATATGTCGAATCCGTCGTTGTTTCCTCCAGAGCAGTTTCAAAGTTCGCGGTATTCTCCGGGCGATTGGAGGCCGCCGGAGAGGGAGTACCGTCGCGACGATTACCGACGACAGCAGTAACTTGTACGTTTTTTTTTGTATTTTATTCAATTTTACCAACTCTTTTTGAATAACATTATTTTTTTGTTTTGGGAAGTTATTGAGAATGTTTTTATTTTTTAATTTATTAGTACAACTGTCCCTTCTCGATAATTTTCCAGAAGCTGCATTTTCATTACCAAATGTTTTATATAAATTATTATGTACATTTTAAAATAGATAAAGGTGGCTGTGTTTGTAAACATTTTTTCACGATATATGCAGGCCTACCAACAAAATGTAAATGATACTTTTGATGTACATACAAATAGATAAATATGTTTTGATATTTCCCTTGTATATTTTATTTCAACCCTTTTCAATTCATATAAATTTCAAATGATAAAAATAAAGGTAAGTATATGTTTTTATACCACAAAAATGTAAGTTGGTTAGTAGTGCGTTGCATCGCTGCCTTTTATAGGTAAAGCCACCTGGCGGACAAAGTTAGAACTACTTTTTAAATTTGAAAGAGCGCTGCAAGTGGCCAAACTTAAATTTAAATATTAGCGTTGGTAGCGCGCCCTACGTTGTAGCGGTGGATATTGGGAATACATTTTGTGGTTGCAAATATTAATGAGAATATATTTTACTTACCTTTCATTTTTAATAAGGTCAAGGAGGAAAACAAAGTTATTAGGGTATTTTTTTAGTTAACAATTACATTTTTGTTATTTGAAGAAATCATTGCTATAAATCATTTAAAACAATGGTCATTTTTACTTAAGTTTAACATTAAACTATTAAAATGGCATTTAAAAATTGGAAAAAAATCAGCGGTTCTCAGATAATTTGAAAAAAAAACTGAAAACATGTTAAAACAAAAAATCTTTATAATTTCGTTATTCCTGGGAGTTTTGAAAAAAAGTAAGTTGTATATGTAAACAGATAGGCCATTATAAAAACCAAAGATGGTGGTGGCAATTTAAAACATAGTAGCAAAGAAATTGGATAAAAATGTAGATTAATGTCTATGTTTACATGTAAAACTTACTTTGTTTCAAAATTCCCAGGTATAACAAAGTTTTGAAAGGTTTTTTTTCATATATTTTAAGAACCGCTTGCTTTTTTCAATTTATAAGATACGTAACACATTCATCAAATATTGTTCATATCTTGCCACATCATTAAAAAAAATGGAGAAAAAATTTAATTCATCGTTTTTTTTACATATTTCATGTTTGTGGCAATAATACGTTAAAGTGAGCTGACTGATACAGGGTACACAAGCCTTTTAAAATAAAATTTCAAAAAACATCGAATATCAATATATTTAAAAAACGTCAAAATTTTTAAATAATAATCAGTTTACCATGCACACAGTAATCTACATTTTCATACAATTTATTCGCTAGTAAATTTTGAGTTACCATTACCATCTTTTGTTTTTATAATGACCGCCATAACTTATGTTGTTTGACACATCGTAATTTTGTTCCTATCTAACCATAAAAAATTTCAAAATGGAGGTGGTAACTTAAAATCTAGTAGGCGACAAAAACCACAAATTGTGATTTTTTTAAATTCCCAGGAACAACAAAGTTATGCTGGTAATAATAATAATAATCTAGGGTAAAATATAAGTTGGCTTAGGTTTTAAATAAAAATGGTTTTCTAGTTCTTTTGTTGATTCAACGCTATAATTTTAAAACTAAGAAAACATACAAGTATGCTCTAAGTATTTATTATAAATTGTTATGTGTATACTCTAAGTCTAAGGTATTGTGATCGGTTAAATATATGCAACCCATATTACATATTTTTAATATCTGGGTTGCCTGTTCTTCCTGTGGACAATATAATATAAATGTATGTATTATATTCTAAACTCAGAAATAATCTATTTAAATTAAATTTTACAATTCTATTTTTTTCACTTTCAGTTTAAAGTTAAATCGTATAGTAAAATTACGTATGTGACTTGGTTTATTGTGATTATTTTAAATTATATTCTTATATAAATTTTTTATAAATATTAAATGAAAGTATGGCTTTTATCTTTTTTATTGATTTTCCTAAAAATGACCGAACTAATTTAGAACCTTGCACAGACTGATACGAATTTGCAATACGTCAAAATAGCTAAAAACTTTTCAGTTTATCGGCTGTGCCATCAACAATTAAACTGAATATTCAACAAGTGCAGCTGTTAATTTAAAACGCGGGATAACAATGGGCGAGTCTAATTACAATCAGGTATAAGTATAGTAATAGTAAAGTTGATTGATTCGAAATGGATGGAATAAAATTTTTAATGAAGGAATATTTGTTGTTTAGCCGAAGCGCCAGAGTCCTTTGTGCGTATTTTGTTTGTCGCCGACTTTTTCATTAAGGACTTGTGTTCGTCCTGGAAGGAAGACGACGGGACACCCGCTCCCGCCCGCCCTCAGTTGGCGACGACCAGGCTACTCGATGCCGCGATTCAAGATAACGAACCGTCGAAATATGAACCCGCTAAACAGATTCATAACAGGTTCAAATTTTACACTTAATTGCAATTAATTAAAATTAAGCGTGCAATTATAAATAAGGGTCGACAAATATCGACCACTTAATAGGGTTTTATTCACAAACACGAAAGCCACAACTCGCGCTATTTTCAGTTAATCCATAACAATTAAGTTTGGTTTGATTTTTAAGTGATTTTTCACGTTTAGGTTTCCGTCGACGCAAAACTTTAAAATTGGATGAAATACTCGACATACTTAAGGAAGTTTGGAAATCACCTCAGGATAAATCAAGGTAAATATTTTACGATGGTTTTATTAACCCGACGCGTCGACGGTGCTTTCATGATATAAATTATTTATTAAATACATATTGATTTTTATAGATACCTATAGTTCTTTATATTTAAGTAAATTAGCAAAATATTTGCTGCAGTGCGGGCTGTAATTTTAAACCACAAAACGTGCCAAAAATAATTAAACTAAGATTCTTAGAATTAATCATCAATTCTTCAAGAGTTAAAAATCGTTGTTGTTTACTCGAGGAGTAAAGGAATATTTTAATAAAGTTTTTCCATGCGAGACCCAGTAAGCATGCCTGTACGGAGTTGCGAGTTGAGGTTGAAATTTGGTCGGTATTTCAGTGTGCAACGCAACTCTGTAGGGGTATGTGCTAAATGAAAGTTAAATTTATTTTTACTTTACGTATTCAGGTAAATATTTTCCAAAGTTCTTAATATTTAAGTAAATATTCCCATTAAAATTAAGTAAATATTTAATTTCTAATTTTAAGTTTCACTAATGTACTTAGATTAGTTTTATGACAAAATAACAATTTTATTTGCTAAAATATTTATCATCTAATTTTGCAAAGAGCATAAAGTAAAGCAAAATAACACTGCATAGTGACTGTCGAGTATTCCCCAAAGTGTAGTATATCGTTTCATAGGGTATTTATTTCAGTTTCAGCGAAATGGAAAGAAAATCAACCAGTTATTCCAACGACATTCCATCGCCAGTTTTATTAAGAAGACGTCTAAGTGCACCGGAAACAATAATGAGAAAGTAAGTGACTTAGGTTAGGAAAAATACGATATTTTGAAGGTTTGTGGTCAACAACTATAATAAAAATGACCTCAAGGATATGCGTGACCAAAAGATCGATCTAAGGGGTTAAAAAGTAAGGAATATTCAGATTAGCAATGTGACTCACTGTCACAGGAGAGCGTATTTTTAGCACGTTCTTTAAATATCAATATAAAGAATTTCGCACTTTTTTATTTACCTTTCTATATACGAATATTTTTGTGTTGTTCGAATTCAATGTACGTGCATACGAGTATAAATCATTCAGAGAAGGAAACATGGGAATTGTTTTATTATTTATAAAACACGTGAAACATGGGGAACTTTACTGAGATTAATCCGATGCGACTTAGCTATCTCTCTAAATTGCTAATGCGATTTAAAAACCTTCTTTGTTTGCGAGAATTTTTAAATGAACAGTTTCCTAAACAGTGGCCGCCAAGATCGCCGGATCTAATTGATAGCACGATTGCGCGCCATTATAGTGGAGAGAATTGTTATATTTGTCATTTTTGTTTTTATGGTTATGTTTTTTGGCCGACCTCACAATTTAATTCATCTACTCACCATTGATAAGCTGTGACTTCATGGCGTTTTAGTCACGGGCTGAAGTTAGCAACAGTTGCTTTCGGGCATTTTAGTCACGGGCTAAAGTTAGTTTTATTGTTAATTGGGAAAAAGTGAGGTTAATTCAGATGTCAAATGTTTAACAAATAAAATTGGCTTTGAATTCTTCTGTGTTTGTCGTAGATAAAGTAAAGTATGCAACTTCTCCAGACACTCGTTTCTATTAAACACTCGCTTGCAAGCTTCGCTCGTGCCTAATAAAACTTGAAACTAAAATGACATTTATAAAACTTGATACATAATGTACTATTAACTCTCTTATTTTTATGTTTTAATAAATAAATATAATCAATACTTGGCTAGTTGGAAAAGGCCTGAATTTAAAACCGCACACGTGTAATGGCGTAATAAATATAAGAGCACAAGTGTCTAACCACTCGAAGTCATATTTAATTCACTTTAACTAAAGACGTTTATTTTATTTAAGGCATGTGCTCGCACAGCAGCGGTCGGACGATATCACGCAAAACGATACAAGAAATAGCCAATGGAGGATGGAGAATGCCGCTGAAAGCGACCCAAACTTGAACAAAAAACGGGATTCGGGCCTAATGAGAAAGTCGACTTTGCTGAGGAGATTGTGGAGCAACAGCAAACCTCTATCGGGTGCGCGTTTTTCCGGCTCCTTTTACGAATGGCAACACTCGTTCGGTAAAATGTCGTCGAGCAACTCTTTGACAACATCGAATCATTCATCGCCCGAGCACAAATCGCAAAGCAGGAGATCATCGCCGCAGCACTTCCAAAGAAAATTATCGCCAAGCCCTAGTAAAATGATGTCACCAAAAAGAAAGGTGTCTGTATACAATGGAAATTATGAGTATACTTCGTATAGCAGTAACTCTGCAACAGATAACTCAAACATATCGAGCTCACTGGACAATAGAACGAGTAGAACGATCACACCAAAAACTGAATCGGAGAATTACAGTACAAGAAGTACGACGACTAGTTATACAACTTTTTCGGAAAATTCCGACTCTGCAATCACTAATTCGCACTACTCCAACAACAACTCCACCACATCTTCAGAGATAACAAAGCAGTTTATCGAGGAATCAGACAACAGTAACCAAGAAGCCAACCAAACTACTACCACCAAAGAGACAGCGAAAAATATAAACTCGTCACCAAAAAGTGAATCTGGCACACAAACTTCCGACCTGACGAACTTAAACGTAATCTCAAACGTGCAATTAAGCCAATCGACCCTGGACTTAATATTCCAACAAGTAATTCAGGATGTGAATAAAACCTCCCCCCATGTAGACACAACCCCTGTAAGTGACGTTAAAAAAGTGATCCAAGTGCAAGAAATACCTAGTTTCTACTTAAAGCGAAAAGAAGACATAACTGTGGATGACCAGCAACATCAACGCATAGTTAAATACATGATAAGCAATATTGGGACAGGGAGTCCTTACAGTAAACCGGCTGAAGTGCCCCAAGTTGTAGTACCAAGATTTTCAGCTCAACCAAGATCGTCTTCTATGGAAGTTAACACCTCTTCTGGCGAATCGGATGACAAGGAGTCCGATACTGTAAGTCTTGTGGATAGTTTGGAGGACCCACATTCACCCAGAGTGAATAATATATCACCAATGCTTCCAGATAATAGTAACAAAATAAGGAAATTGCCTAAACCATCAACGTTTTTCATACCGATGGAGTCCAACCAAGTGGAATTAAAAGCAGTATCGGACTTACTTCCAGATAAAGTGAGAGAAAAATTGAACAAAAGGCAGCAAAAATTGCACGAAAAAAGTAAATTGAGCTCGCCGAGATCAGACAGCAACTATATAAGTGCTAGTGATAATCAGCTTCACTTTGTAGCTCACGATAGTTCTGATTTGAATGTTAAAAGTACACCGGTACTGCCTCAAGTCAACTATAAGAAAAAACGTAACAAGCCGCTTCTACCAAGTATAGAAAGTATAAGAAAAACAAAAATTGATAAACGCGAAAAAGACCCAAAATTAAAAGTTAAACGCAAGTCAATACCAAAAGAGGACTTACAACAAAGTAAATCCAAGAATTGGATGCCGAAACCAAGGAATAAAATGAATGAAAAACTAACCCCTATATACACAAGCAAAAACGAATATGTCTACAATGCAGAACCTAGAAGAATATACCATAAAACAGAATTCAGCAATAACAATAAACGGATAGAAATCCTTGAAATAATGGAGTGCGTGGAAACACCAGAAAAAAATCATATATTTAAAGGAAAATCCAAAATACCTGTACTGGTTAACCAAAAATTGCCCAAGATAAACGATGGATCTCACAAACCAAGCTTTTTGGACTTTGATCAAGTCGAAGCTAGCGATCCAAAATTAGACCAATTAATAGCAAATATTCTTATAGACACCCTAAACAACTCAGCCGAATCGCCGAAAAACAAAAACGAAAGAAAATCATCTGGTTCGCCAACCAAATACAACAACGCAAAGTACCAGCAAAAATTCGACGTAATCCCCGAAGAACTGCAATCTTTGGAAGACAACCTTCTTCGTACGGACATAAGGAATAACAATAACACCGAAAATAACTACGAAGCAACTAACAGCGAAACAGATAATCCCACTTATAAAGGTAAAGCTGCAGTTGCAGTGGTTAGAGACGAAAATTTTTCCACAATACCAAAGGGCTGGATTACATTCTATATGCTTCACAAGAATCAGGGCACTCCTGACAGCACGTCCGATGAAGGTATTAATCTTTCAACATATCAAACTTAATATTGCACTTACAATTAGTCTAAATAACAGCACCTAGCCTACATCCCGTTTATTTTGTATTTAGACGATTTTATTTAGGAAAGAATAAATTTGATCAGAATGATTTAAAAGAAATAGATAAAAGAATCTCTTCCGATAAAGATAAAATTGCTAAAAAAGACGAAAGTCTTAAGGGATCTTTTTCAAGTAGTGAGGACTTAAGCCAATTGCTTCCTATGTCTGGGAAACCAAAAAGAAACAGCTCAAACCAAGCAAAAACTTATAACGTCAATAATGACAAAGGTAAACGTAGAAATAAAAAATGCACACCAATAATATTAATTGTAATTTTAAGGAGAATGGTCCGTAACTGTTAGCGGGACTAACAGCTATGGACAGATGGCTCCAGAACTGGAAATGAGGCTCAAATTCCCCAAAAATGATTCTGGACTGAACAAAGAAAAACCTACTGGATGTAAAAACACAACTTGACTCATCAAAGTAATATTTTCTCACGATATAATTTTAGCTTATCAAAGATGGCTTCCTGAAATTCCGAAAAATAAGCTCACCAAAAAAACACCGGACCAGATTCCTTTTATAATCGAACCGAGGCAAAACAAAACAAGCACGAGACGTTACCAACTTACAAGACCAAAAATCCCGAACAGATGTCACGATATACTGCCACAAGGCAGTATTTTCAATGAAAGGTAAAATTTTGGAAAAAAGTGTTTTCGTGCAAATGAATAAGTTTGTTTTAAGGGAGTACGCGGACTTTTTAAGGCATTTTCCCGATATTTTAACAGTGCATGGAAGAACTATAAGCCCCGATAGATCCAGAGTACCAAGTTTGAGTGAAAGGGATTTAATTAGGCATTTTTATACTACCCCTCGCTAATTTTTAATTTTCTATGTATATATTGTATATGAGAAAATAAAGACTTATTTTATTAAATTTTGTTATTTTTTATTACAACAAAATAAAACATTTTAAAAATTAACTAAAACGAGCGATATGTTACTTTTTTAAATAAATAAATAAATGTTTGCTGTAATATTATTCTTGCCAAAATGGCAAATGCTCCAGTATTATTTTTGAAAAACTTCCTAAAAGGATTGTTAAATATAATAAAACAGTAAGATGTTATGTTAACTTTTTAAATACAAAATGAAATGTTTGTCTTAATATTATTCTTGCGAAAATGGCGAATGCTCCAGTATTAATTTTGCGAAAGTACCTAAGAGGATTTTTAAATAAACTAGAACAATGAGATGATATGTTAGTTTTTTAAATAAAAAAATAAATAATTTATTTAATATTATTTTTGCAAAAATGGCGAATGCTCCAGTATTAATTTTGCGAAAGTACCTAAAAGGATTTTTAAATAAACTAGAACAATGAGATGATATGTTAATTTTTTAAATAAAAAAATAAATTATTGCTTTAATATTTTTCTTGCGAAAATGGCGAATGCTACAGTATTAATTTTGCGAAAGTACCTAAAAGGATATTTAAATAAACTAGAACAATGAGATGATATGTTAGTTTTTTAAATAAAAAAATAAATAATTTATTTAATATTACTTTTGCATAAATGGCGAATGCTCCAGTATTAATTTTGCGAAAGTACCTGAAAGGATTTTTAAATAAACTAGAACAATGAGATGATATTTTAATTTTTTATATAAAAAAATAAATAATTGCTTTAATATTGTTCTTGCAAAAATGGCGAATGCTACAGTATTAATTTTGCGAAAGTACCTAAAGGATTTTTAAATAAACTAGAACAATGAGATGATATGTTAATTTTCTTTCTTAATTTCTTAAATAAAAAAATAATTGCTTTAATATTATTCTTGCAAAAATGGCGAATGCTCCAGTATTAATTTTACGAAAGTACCTAAAAGGATTTTTTAATAAACTAGAACAATGAGATAATATGTTAATTTTTTAAATAAAAAAATAAATAATTGCTTTAATATTTTTCTTGCAAAAATGGCGAATGCTCCAGTTTTAATTTTGCGAAAGTACCTAAAAGGATTTTTAAATAAACCAGAATAATGAGATGATATGTTAATTAAAAAAAAAATTGATTTAATATTATTTTTGCAAAAATGGCGAATGCTCCAGTATTAAATTTGCGAAAGTACCTAAAGGGATTTTTAAATAAACTAGAACGATGAGATGATATGTTAATTTTTTAAATAAAAAAATAAATAATTGGTTTAATATTATTCTTGTAAAAATGGCGAATGCTCCAGTATTAATTTTACGAAAGTACCTAAAAAGATTTTAAATAAAGTAGAACAATGAGATGCTTTAATTTTTTAAATAAAAAAATAAATAATTGCTTTAATATTATTCTTACAAAAATGGCGAATGCTCCAGTATTAATTTTACGAAAGTGCCTAAAGAATTTTTAAATAAAATAGAACAATGAGATGAAAAGTTAATTTTTTAAATAAAAAAATAAATAATTGCATTAATATTATTCTTGCAAAAATGGCGAATGCTCCAGTATTAATTTTACGAAAGTGCCTAAAGAATTTTTAAATAAAATAGAACAATGAGATGGATATGTTAATTTTTTAAATAAAAAAATAAATAATTTATTTAATATTATTTTTGCAAAAATGGTGAATGCTCCAGTATTAATTTTGCGAAAGTACCTAAAAGGATTTTTAAATAAACTAAAACAATTAGGTGATATAACAAAATCATGATGTTTATTATCTATAAAATATGAAATATTAAAAAAAAATAAAACACCTATATTCCTTAGTAATATTTTATTAAAATAAATTAAGAAGGTAAGACTTCCCAAAGCTTCTGTAAAGTAAAACCATCTTTAACCATTTCTACTGCCAAGCCCAAATCATGCGAATATACAGGGGGTCTATCTTTAGAATGCCCCTCATCGGCTAAATAAACAGACAGCGCATTGGTCATTTCGTTTTTGGGTTCTGAAATTTCTTCCAAATCGTCAATAATTTTTTCTGTTGGATTTTCAATTTGTTTGTTTAACCATTTATATTCGACACCGAATGTAGGATTGTTGGTGTATACAGAGTATAGAGAAACTAATTCTTTATACAGGGTGTTTAATTTTTCATCTGGGTCTACCCTGAAGCCTAAAATATAGCCACCACTACCCTCTGAACTTATAACCACCAAGGCATTGCCGAACTTTGAATCACGAATTTTAATCTGAAATTTTTTATTGAATATAACATTTGCAATGTAACAATTCACTTACACTCTCTATTTGTAAGTAGGGCAGAGATACATTGAAGGCTTCATTCATATCGGCAAACCAAACTAATCTCACGTTTGTTACTATCAACGTTCCTAGACTACCTTGGTCACTGGAAAGATTCCACACACCGTGAATTGTGGAAAAAACTTGCTCTAAGGGTAGGATTTTTAATTGTTTATTATATACAACGGCTCCTCTTAGTTTGAGCTCTCGGTACAATTTTGAAGACACGAATGCTCTAAAATGTAATGTTAAGTGTTGAAATATAAAATGTTTATTACAGCATTACTTATGTACTCCTATTACTGAAGTGAAATGGCGCATATTCCCTGGGACCAAATTTGTAAAAATAAATTCAAATCTTGTGTTATTTGATGAAGTTAGGAGATTGAGGGCTTGGGTGGTGCCTCTAAGTTTCTATAAATTACAGCATTAATATATTATAAATATTATTTAATGGAATGGTTACCGAATTCACTATCTTGGTGCTTATGGATATGATACAGTTAAAACCAATAGCTAAAACACATTACATAAATATTTATAATACAACAAATTTCTCCTTACATAAATTGACTCTGGGGCTTATTACGGAATGCCATAAGACCCTTATATTAGTTATTATTAATCTTCCTCGATCACCTCCATTCCCTTTTGTGTCTTCGATATTTTCCAATCGATCTATAACCTTTTCACCCAATTTTAAACGCATTTCGCTTAAAAACAAAATTTCAAGATAAGAAATTATTATTATATCATAGTCTTACGTGTATGGTATGTCGAATTTGACTTCTTTATCTTCCCAAATTAAAGCCATTTTCTTCAAAATGTTATACGCAAATGAAAACAAATTATTGTGTGTATACCAACAGTAAAAATATCGATTATTCGCCCCACATTGTCGTATATACGAGGCGCGCACAAAAATAAAACACGAATCGATATCATCCAAATTTTACTCAAAATAAATATTTACAATAATTTAATAAATCAATTATTAGTATTTATCCGCCACATGAACATATTTGTTCAACAGCTCTTCCTCAGGCTTCGGGGTGGGGAAGTAAGGATTTTTGCCTGGCTCCAAATTGAGCCTGTAGTGTTCTTGAGCCTCGTGACAGTTGACGTTGTACCACCAATCGCAAGTGAATTCTTTTTGATTGAAAATTGTTCCGTTGGTGCACAGGAAAGAGGAACCTTGTTCGCCTTCTCTGCCATCGTGGCACACATGGTAAGCCTGGAAAATTAGTTGAAGAGGTTATTTGTTCCAGAATTTGGAAGAATAAAACGTACTTGGCATCCTGTTTCAACGTTGGCATACATTCCAGGATGAACGGGGACGTTATGGCAAGAAAAACCTGTGTGGGGCACCCTATGGTAAATCGGGTAATCTACCCCAGGTACCCCGGGAACTTTGGAGAGATCCTGCTGATTTTCTTTTTCTGATTGGCGCAGTTTTACAGGTACCGCAGTATATCCATTATGGTAATTGTTCTATTAAAGTATTTTATGGGCAATCCCAAAATCAATTAATTTATTTAATATTATGATTTAATTTAGAAAGTGGGTCATAGCAAAATGTATTTTCTTAATTTAATTAAAAGGTCAAAGTTATAAGCAATAATATTAATATGAGGGCATTTTTCACATTTTCCTCATATTAATAAATCAATATTAAATTAATAAATATTACTTACGATGGTTAAGCAATTGACCGCAAAAACCACAGAGGCGACGAAAAAAATTTGGGCACAAATAAACCGCGTCATTATAGCAACTGGTAGCGCACAGTATGAGATTAAAACTGATACTTACAAGTTACATATGAGCAAAATCACTTTCCCTTCTTAATTTTTTATAACCGTTTAACACGGACAGCTAAAAATGATTTACATAAACGCAATAATATTTCAGTTCGTATTAAACCGAATTAAATTTTCACGTATTCCCTTGGGATTGAGGATTGTCAAATAAAAAAGGTACATGCAGGCTTTATGTTTTTCAGGAAGTTCGAAATAGAGATAATAAAATGAGAAAAATACCGGGACGTATAAATTTTTAAGCAGATTAAAAACACACTACTTTTTTCGACCAGCGTTGTTCAACAAAAATCAATGTGGTCTAGTTTATTTATTAAAAGTATTGCCATTTTAACAAAGTATTGGTTCTATATAATTACATAACATAGCTAGTTTACAGCGTAATCCATTAAGTTAAATATATGGTAAGCCTGAAGCACTTTTCACAATACCTTTCAGTTTTGACTGCTCCAATTTAAGGTCAACTGCAGAAAATTTGCCTATATTTTAATAAAATACACTACTCAAATTAATCGTAGGAATGCAGTTTTTTTAAATAGGGCTGCAAATCTTTGAAAATAATCTAAAAAACAAATAAATAATTATTATAAAATTTAAAAGAAATAATAATAATAATATAAAAAACACAATTTTTTCTAAATATTTTATCCGCCAATGCGGAACTTCCGCACTGGCGGAAGCGGAAGCAGAGGTCTGTTGCAACACTAGTAAATAACTCTATCCCTTATTCCATTCCGGATAGCTTATTGACAATTTTAAGGAAATTACCTAAATGCGGATGCGGAAGTATAAATTCTATAAAAAGAACTAATTTTTGAATTTAAGCATTTATCACGCTTTTTACGGGGTCGTAGAGATTACGGTATCATAACTAATAAACATAAACGTTGTGCTTCCGGTTTTAAAAATGCATAAGCGGATGTGAACCTGTGCAGAACTTCCGCAGGAAGCGGAAGCAGAGATTTGTTGCAACACTACTAAGTAATTATATTTCTTTCTGTTTAAGAAAACCCTTAAACAATTTTAATTAAATTACCTGAATGCGGATGCGGAAGCGTAAGTATAAATAGGTACTATAAAAAAAATTTGTCGATTTTTATTTATCACGCCTTTTACGCCCTTTCTAGAAAGTTTCGATATAAAAAAAAATGTGAAACCAGATGCAGAAGCGACTGTGAAAAAGTGTGCAGTACTTCCGCAGTTGCGTATGTTCTATTAAACGTAACCCTTAGAGAATTTTAATGAAATTACCTGAATTTCCTTATCATCCAAACTGTTATTTTTTTTTCTCTTCGTCATGATAGGCAACTGACTATATCTAATCAAATTTAAATTGATGGCATTAAAATGAATAGGCTTCCTTATGAGATACGTTGTATCAACTATTCTGGAGTTATAGAGGGCTTCAGAAGCAATCTTGTACTTTTTATCCGCGCCGATGGCAATCTGAAAAAAATATTGAATTTTATTAGAATTCTTTTGCAGGAAAATCTCCGTAAGTAAAACTTATTGTCTCGCGAGAGTGAGCTAGAGCGTAAAAACCTTTTTTGATAAACATTAAACAAAAAAAAGACGACAATAAAAAGGGATAATAAAATGATAAATCACCTTGACGGTGGGTGTTGGGTACTTTTTGGGGGCGCTTCTCACATCGGGACTTCCGTGTTCCAATATCACCCCGTCGATGGTGTAAAATCCATTTTGGTTTAACTTATTCAAAACTAATCTTTCCGGGAAAAAAGCCGATTCGGGAATTTTACCGCCATATTGAGGCAGGAGCTCTTCACGAAATAATTCTCTCTTCTAAAAATTATTATTGACATAAAATAAGGAAATTATTTGATTATGTACACATTTATTTTATTCACAAAAATATAAAGGATACTAGTTGTTTAAAAGCAACCATTTATCTTAGTATTTTTTGAAATTTTAATGCAATATAAATAAAAAATAACCTACCTCTCTTATTGTCATTCCACAATTGATAGCAACTAAAAAACTAAACAAACTCAATGCCTTGAGACACATACTTCAAATTTTTATCATCTTATATAGAAAACGTAATTTGGGCATTTATGATGATGATGATTTGAAAATCCTATTATATGTCGGCATCTTTATATTGCCCCCCACTTAAATATTCAATAAGAACGTCTTCTTTCATCTACAGAGTGCTTGAAAATATTTCATATTTATTTTTGGCATTTTATTATTTGGCTGTGAAAGTTGTATTAATCTAACAAAAGAATTATTACAAATAAAATACATTTTAAGTACTAGGAGAAAGGTTGTATCCAAATAAATACTATGTAACATTTTTAATTAGAAACATTATAGATCTAAGAAGTATAGGTTAATAACAAATACGTGTTATACAGAATAAAATTATGGACATACTTAACACCTGGGTAAATTTTAAATATGTATGAACAAATTAAATTATTTACCAGTCAGAACAGTTCATGCTCCTGTTATACAAACAAAACAATTAGCACGAAATTTTAAAACAATTTTTTCACTCATTTGATACATTATTGTCGTACAATGTACTCAAAAGTGTAAGCAAGAATTTCAACAAACTTTACGTTTAAAAATAAAATTTTATTTTCAGGTATATTTTAGTGCCTGCAGTAATATTACTTATAATCCTTCAGGGATTTTGCGACAACTCCTACGACAACTGGAAATTCCATTTTCCAGCCGGAGCCGGCATAGGGGTAAGTTAATATTTTTTCAAAGCAAACACAAGTTTAATGAAAAATCAGTTATTTGTAGCAGTCGCCATACCTTTAGACCTACCCAATAAAAATGCCTATCTCGCGTACAATTTCGAAGCCAACTATGCCCTACCAGATAACGCCACATCTTTAACTTATCCACCCATCATTGAAAGAGGCATCGATAGGGCATTTGTTTATAATGCCCTGGAAACAAAGATGAATACGTAAGTAATAAGAGGAAAGTGAAAATGTGTGATCTGCAGATACGGATGCGTATGCAGATGTTCAGAAAAAAGGCACGCGCTTCACCGCAATTTAAAAGGTTGCGGATGCGGATGCTCCGCATCATTTTTAACTTTTGTAGCAAGAGTAGTGACTTTTTAAGAAGGCACGCGCTTCAACGCAATTTGCAAGGATAAAACCGCATTAAAAGGTTGCGGATGCGGATGTTAGGATAATGCGGATGTTCCGCATCATTTTTAACTTTTGTAGCAAGAGTAGTGACTTTTTAAGAAAATGTATTTTTTAGGAGCGGATATCCTGGAAAAGCGTGCCTTTTGCGTACAATATGCGAGGCATCAACGCACACGGTCGAGCACAATAACGGCGTTCTTGGGGATATTTTACATATAATATTTACGTAAGTAACTATGGAAAATTGCCTTTTACCATAACTTAAATAATTAATGTCCAAATAAAGATACATTCGCAATATTCCATCGAAATAGATCAAAGCGAAAGTAAATATTTAGCAACGTTTGTTCTAATTAAAAAATAGCATTCATAGTTTTTCATAATTCACCAGGCCTTCGACGTCCAAGAATTTTAATTTGTCTACCGAATACGAGACGGCGGAAATAATGGGAAGGACAACAAGCGACTGTAAGGATTACAACAGGAATTGCACCATCAGTTTTCTGGATTTAATCAGTTGGATTGGCCGGTCTATATAAATTTGTAATGTTGTCAATAAAATGTTTTTAATGCAAAAGAGTTTTCATTTTTACCTGTACAATAAAGATCTCTGACATAACTGTGCGGGAACGTACATTTTACAAGTTACTCTTTTAATGCCTCAAGCTTTCCCTACTCGTTAACAGAGGGAGCTAGCGTTCAAAAACCACTACAATGCAGTAAGCGTATAAAACATAAACGATAATATAAACCAAAATTTATTTATACACATTAATATTTACAATAAGGTATTTCATTGAAAATAGCGGTATTACGTACATAGGTATTATTTATTTAATATTTAATGAGAAGCGTTAGGCCTATTAGTAACTAACTGTATATTTTGTCTTGACATTTCAATTACTGTATTCAGTTGTCTAAAAATTTAACATAATGATACCCAGGCTTTTTTGTGCGTTAACCAATTTATCTTTTGTTCTTAGCTTTATTACTATCAAAAATCCTATTCAGTTTCCCTATCATGAACCATTTCAGGGGGTAAGTTATATAAATAATTGGTTCTGATTTATTATTAAATAATAAATGTTTAAGATTTTTTTAGCGCTTGCTTTGCCATTGGAGATAGAAGAACCCGATGTTTTTGTAGCCTATAATATAGAAGCAACCTATAAATTACCTGAAAATGAAACTGAATTTTCATATCCACCTTTATACGGTGATACAGCCGTTGATAGAAAATTTGTTTATAATATTTTGGAGTATAAATTAAAATCGTAAGTACCTTGGCGTTCGCAAATATTCGTACCTCAATTTTTGACATTTCCTTACTGCATGCAATCAAACAATTTTTTTTCAGAAATTTGAATTTCTATATAAATAAGTTTGATTGAAAAAGATAACAAAGTTTTTCCAAAAATCGAGACACGGTTTTATTTGCGAATTGCGACTTATACGTCTATTTCAGTTCAGTATTAATTAGTGTTATTATAGACATGGTTATCCTGGAAAACAATGCTTATTAAGGACGATTTGTGAAGCTTCACAATACACATCTAAGGATACAGGAGTTTTAGGGGATATATTGCATATTATTTTAACGTAAGATATTTATATGTTTAAGTATACATATATTTTTGGTGCACGGTTAAAAATGTCCATGGTAATTTTACCTTGGCACCGTGCTTTTGTTTCACACCACATGGCTGCCCGGCGCTGATGAGGTCCAAAAGTTCGAAATATTTGAGTACAGCTGACTTTAAAGATGAAAACCTATTTTTAATTTTATAAACACTGTATTTTTATAAAAATTCATATAAATATATAATTATCCAATACAAAAAGATATGTGTACATCTTTAAGATTTTATTTATACAAAAAGATATTTTCATAATGATAAAATAATTTTTAGGCCAAGTACATCTGAAAACAAAGGTTTGGAAACTGAGTATACTGAAGCTGAAAAATACGGAAATAATGAAAATTGCCTTAAATATAACAAAAAATGTTCCTTTAGTGTTTTAAGTTTGATTTCGTGGATTAAGGATGTTTTTTCATAAATAAATAATTTGTAAAATAATATTTTTTATTTACCTACCTACAAAGCGTAGAGCGGGCGTTATGTTCCGACGGAAACCGAACTAAATTCTGAAATATACCTTAAATAACTTTGAAGTGTAAATTTTCACAATAAACTAAAATAATATGTAGTTTTACCGATAAAACTTGCTAATTAGTTATTAAGTGGTGTTTACCCTATGCAAACATGATATAATAGAGTTTTAGCGAAAAATAAATATGACACAATTAATAGAACAAAGAAGTGTTAACAGATAATAAATTGCTTAATAATTTCTTTCCACAAACATAACAGTAAATCATTGGTTAACAAACGTAGTTTTTTGTCTTTGCCGCAACAAGCAACATGAAAAAAATCATTTTACTGCATATATGTTGTTTATTTTTAAGGGAATATGCTTTTGGTGATGGAATTACCTTTACAAATCCTTTTAGATTTCCTGTAGGACTTATTGAAGGACCTTTTATTGGAGTAAGTACCAACAAAACATTTATTTCGTGTATCTACGGAACATTTTTAGATGTTCATTGCTATATCGGTTCCGTTAAATCTACCAGAAGCCAGTTTATCTTTATCTTATAATATGGAAGCTAATTATGTCTTACCTCAAAATGATTCCGAATTGAGTTATCCTCCAATTTATGAGAGATCTTTTACAAGAAAAACGTTCTATAATTTACTGGAATACAAGTTAAAATCGTAAGTATTTAGTTTATTAGGTTAAATGGTGCATTTTTAAGTAATATTCATTTTAGACATGGCTATCCTGGAAAGCAATGTTTACTGAGGACCATATGTGAGGCCTCTGTGTATACCATGGAAAATACTGGAGTTCTGGGGGATATTTTCCATATATTGTTAACGTAAGACTTAATATTACTTTTTTTGTCAAAAAAGTACCCTTCTACAGAGAAAAAAGTCGAATGAAAAAAATTATCATTTCGATTTAAATTTTTAACCAAAAATTCATATAAAATAAAAGACTTTTTAAATCTAACAAAAATATATTTTAGCCCATCAAGTTCCTCTGAAGAAGTAGAGTTAAAGGAGTACAATACGGCTGAGAGTTACGGGAGAAAAAAAAAGGACTGCATAAAGTACAATAAAAAGTGTAGCTTTAGCATATTAGACATAATAAGTATTGTAACAAAATTTTTAAATATATAAAATTGAAACCGTATAAAATGTTTTTGTAAATTCAACAATGGAAACGAGGTTTCAGCCGATTGGTTCATAAATACTTTCAAGCCATTTGTGACAACACTGAATACAATAAAAGCACTCCACAAAGAACCCTTCCGCACTTAAATGCGATTCGGTAAAATTAATCCATGTGCACATGCATGTATGTATGTGTAATTAATATAGTGCTTGAAAATGAATTTCCGGATGCGGCCCTGCGTTGAAATTTCTTCGTGAATTTCGCTTGTCAAAAACAAATAATTTTGCACGCGAAAATTTGCATGTGTCATAGCTAATTAACCGTTTAATTTCGCCCTTTGGCAAATCAATTAATAATTTCGAAAATTGTCATTGTATTCTGCAGCGTGTCGCAAATATTTTTAATACTCGGAAACAAAATTTGCTGGCATGTGTCAAAAACTTCAAGTGGAAGGGATTTGCAGTGGACCAAAAGGCTTAAATATTTATTAGAATACAAAAGACAAACTAATCTTAATAGAATCTACTGATAATGGACAGACATTGTTGGACTTTTAAGTGGGCCTTAACTTGCCAATTGACGTGACAAATTTCACAAATAATACAATAAAACGATTCCGAGTACTTCAACATTTTTAATTTTTTAAATAAACACGTCTCAAGATTTTGTTTTCTTTTTATAAGCGCGTAATAAAACTAAATAAATAAAGCAGCTGAAACAAAACTATTTTTATACAAAAACTGCTTTTATTTATTAATAATATTAACATGAATAATTTTAATATTATGTTATACATTTTTGAATATATGAAAAAATGTATGGTCAGAATTTCATTTTATTTAAAATTTAGTTGATATTCAATGGTTTTATAAACTGTTCATATTTTATTGTTTTTTAAATACATTTTTACTGCCGTATAGAGTCAATTTTTATTGTTTCCAACAAATCAGTATTTCTGGGTAAACTACCAAAATATGTCACATTTTTACAACAACTCCCGTTAGCAATGAGGAAGTGTATTGTTATCAAAAATGTCCATTGAAGAAATAATTTGAACAAAATAAACATGTTACCACCTAATCCGATTTAGTGGATTAAGCGCATTGTACCTTTAAGGACCTCCTAAGGGTATATAGTAAATATTTCTTAAATCTTTCATTGTCCATTTGCAACGCTTTGAAAGGAGGTGGTCACTTCCGTAATACATTTATTAAATTTTAGTAAAATAGGTGTTGACTTGAAAACAAAGCTTTTATATTGTGTTTTTAAAACAGAATGTGTTAATATTTAAAACATTAAAAATATCAAACAAAAAAGTCTAAACAGTTTGTATTATGAATTTTTTACTTTCTTTAATAACTATTCAGTTTAACAACTTTGAAGTATTGTAATATGTTTATTTAACATAATTGTTAAGAAGGATTTTTAACAATAAATTTAACGTACATTTTTTTGACTCCTTATAAGTCATATTTTTCTGTATTTAAACCACTATAACCGTAAATAATTTGTATTTCTCTGGGAACTGGAAAGTGGTAGAAAATAGTATATTATGTATCAAGTTTGATAAACGCCATTTGTATAGAAAAGTTTATAAACGAGGTGCATACTATACTTTTTCTACGACAAATACTTATTATTATCTTAAAATGATTTAAATCAAAAATTTGTATAGAGCGCCATCTATCAAACAATAGGGGAATCTGTGTGTCACGTTCAAATGTCACATTTTTTTATTTTATAAACACAGATTATAAAGGTTATAAATCGAAATGTATTTCTTGAAAATTGACAGTTTTTCACAGTGAAAGTAAAGAAAATGTTTTAGGAATACTTTACAGTGGAGTCCGTGCCCGAATTTAAGATATAGTTTACTGCTGGCGAAATTAAAATGTCATATAAACTTTTCAAATATTGGCGTTGAGAAACTATTTAATACTTTTGTATTTTTGTATTGAGATAATAAAATAATTTTCACATTTAGTTTTATTTTACAAGAAAGGCACTTGTATGACATTTGACAACTGTCAACTAACTTAAAGCTAACTTCAGCACGTGACTAAAAACCTGTTGCTAACTTCAGCCCGTGACTAAAGCGCCATAAAGCCACAACTTGTCAATGTGTATTTAAAAGGTCACTTTTTGTCATGGAAACATGTACTATAAAGGGCGTTTTAAAGGGGGGAGTAGAAAAAATCTATTAATAATGACTTAAAAGAAAAGTGAAAAATAAAAATAATAAGGTAATATTTCTTGAAAAATTATATAATAATTTTTTACAAATATTATATAATCATTAAATGTAAAAGGTAGAAAGAGAGACCAGGCTAAGGTAATTTTAACGTAAATCTGTTGCATTAAAATTTATATTACAAAAACGAAATTAAACAAAATTACGTCATAAAGCCTCTAAAAAGAATAAAGAAATTTTGTTGAAGTTGGTGCTTGTGCTTTGTAGACATATTATAAAATAACTCAAAATACTAAACCAAAATCCTTTTATACCTATTACATCTTTTTGGGCATACAAATGTTTTAAAATTTTCAATAACAAGATTCTTGTTACAAGAATACATAAAAAAATTAAAAAAAAAAACAATATTTAAAAAATAATGTATCTAATATAATAAAAGTTAATGCTTGAAATGCATGCATAAATTATGGGTTCATAATTTTTGAAGTAACGAAGGAAGGAATAATTAAAAATTGTCTAAACAAACAAAATTTTTCTTTTGCGTTTTCTTTGCATCCTTTCCTTTTTACGTAATTAAACCTTTTAAACTAGTTTATCTACAACCTACACAGGTAAATATAAGTGGCATTACCAGTTGTAATTTCGTTTCTGCATTTTCTAGTGTTCAAAATTCAAAATTTATGAAACATTTTAGGGTCACATAGCCTAAAATTTAAATTAATTAAAAAGTATTTTAAAAAATTAAGAAACTAACATTTTTAACCCAATTTTATTTTTATTTTGTTTAATGCCTTTTTGTCTTAAAGTCCAAAACGTCCAAAGAAGTATTTTGTCAATTTTTCAAGATTTTTTAAGAAGAACATCCATGGATTGCAATAGCTTGAGCAAGATACATTGGACAACACATAAACATATTTTCAATTTTGATTTATCTTTGGAATATTTCATATCAAGCTACCAGTGTATTTCTACTCTGGGAATCTAATTTTGTCCCTTCCAAGTCACAAATTCACTTTTATTTCACACTGTTTCATAGAGCGATGCGTACGGTAAAAACAAAACCCAAATCAAAATTAAAATCAAACAGACGAAGAAAGGCAAATTTAAGAATGTTAAAACCAAGTTAACCAAGAATGTTAAAAACATGTTTCTATATATCGATATTGGTGAAAAATCTGTATCGTAACGATAAAATTTGTATCATAATGAATCTCATTATAGTACATGTATGAATTTAATAAAGGAATTAAAGTATGGGAGTGGAAAAATTGTTTTTTATAGGTTGAAACGAAAAAAAATATTTGACGGTATTGTTGAAATTTGTCCGCAGAGCAGTGGACAATGGTGACCGCAGCATTCAATCAAAATAATTACGTCGGGATATAGGTGCATGTATGAAATCAACACAGCAAATATAAAAGCCATAGAGCAACCAACGGTTCCCTATAGATTGATTCCGCGTTCAATGCATAGTGGATAAACACTATGTAATCCCTACCCGAACATCATTATGTTCCTATTGAATCTGGATAATCCCGGTATTAAAATCCTATATGTGTTACATCCCTTTTATATCAATGCCGGCACTTTTATTTGTAATCTATTTGATGCACCGTTTTGGTTTCACTTTAATATTATAACTTATGATTAAAATAGCATAATCCGGATTATTATACCAACCAACTTTGTGCTCTTTTAATTATTTTTTCAACATCTTCCTTTATACTTTATCCGCTCACGCACACTAATTTATTATAAACTCAACCATATATATTCACATTTAAATGCTACTACACTATACTTAAAAATAAACAATTTAAACAGCAATCAGATCAGTACCGACCTATTTTAGAATAAAAATTACACTGAGTAACAAAGTTAACAACTTTTTTTTTTGTAGTGTATGTATAATTTAAAACTATTAATACACCTTAGGAGTCATCGATCATCGATTTGTTATCAAATTTTGCCAGTCTTGTTATTGATATGATATACATTAAATTACAAAATATAAACCTAACATAATACTAATGATAAAAGTATGTAACGAATTCTTCGTGTACCTATTGTCTTACACTGTTGTCATATTAATAAAAAAATAATTGCACACAACAAAAAAAAGGAGTACTATTAATTTAAATAATAAGTTTATAAATTGATGGAAGTTTTTGAGGTGGTACAAATTTAATTTCGCGATTTAAATGACATTTGGTAGCCTTGGTGACAACTTATTGGCGTAAGTAACAGAAGCGTGGTGGCTTGGTTTTTGTTATCTTCGAGAGAAACAACCATACCTATGTAAGTTCATTTTTCATTATATGTATGTAGTCAAAATGTAACGTTTCGCCCTTTAAGAAAATCCCCTTGCGGTATAGATTGAGGTTTAGCTTTTCACTGATAACATCAAGTCTAAATCCGCTTACTTCTACAAATTAATAATTGGAAATTCATTTTGTACAGCGCTCCGTCATCATAAATACATCTTCTTCGGCAATTTTCCTAATATC